GCGGAATTTTTCTAAAAATAGACCTTGTCTAAGTTGCTTGTTTTTATAAATTAAATATTAATATTAATTTTTTAGGCGTAAATATAATTTTGGCAGACGCTGTTTATTTTGCCAGTGGCTTTATCGTTTTTTGAAAAAGCTTTCTTTGAGGATGTATCCAATGGAGTAAATAAATATGGGTTTGCGGTCGAATAATAATTTTAAACACTCACGTCATGTCGGGAGGAAATAGAAGTTATATTTACTTAAAAAAAAAATTCTAAAAAACCTTTTTTATTTCAGTTGTCGCAATAAAAAAGTTAAAAATTGTCACAAATAAATTACAGAAAAATTTTATATACTTTAGTATACTGTTAAACAAGGAACAAATTTTATTAAAGTGGAGAAAAAGGATACATTCAGGACATGACAATACGAATAAATTTCCTTAGGCTTTTACTTACGGCTTACGGTTCATTTTAAATTATTATTATCGTTCGTATTGAAGGCTAAACTGAAATGAATTAGGGCTTGTTTTCCGTAAAGACATAATTAATTCCCAAATCCTTATAGGTATATTACAATTTGAGGGGTTGCAAGCTCTCTCACGTGGATGAGCCCTAAAATTTTCCCATGCCAACGTAGAAAAAACTCTTATGGTCCTTTAAATCGCAATGTTTGTCAACTTGTCCGAATTTTTTATACAGTGTGTCTACCTAAGTTGGAACCATATGGAAAACTTTTTTATTATTGGTTTTATGAAAAAAAGTTATGCTTCATAAAAAGTTCTGCATGGTCTAAAATATGGGATGCAATCTTCAGTTCTCAAAATTTCCCAATCATATACGAGGTATATCAGAAATTATGAATTTTGCACAAGAGTAAAGTACCCTTATTTTTGACAATACAGAAGAGTGTTATAAAAAAAGTTATTTTGAATTAAAAGTTATTTTCAAATATGCAACTACAGCCATTTAGAATAAAGATTCAGGTTTTGTGATTACTTACGTTTTACATTATGAATTATTTGTACTATTACTATAATTAAATTCATAAACATTAACAAATGGAAAGTTTATCATATTTTTAACAGATAAGAGAGATAAATACAAATAATTTATAATGTAAATTGTAAATAATCAAAACCTGAATCTTCATGCTAAATGGCTGTAATTGCATATTTGAAAATAGCTTTTACTTCAAAGTAACTTTTCTTTATAACATTCTTCTGTATTGTCAAAAATAAAGGTACTTTACTCTTGAGCAAAATTCATAATTTTTGATATACCTGGTATAAGACTAGGAAATTTTGATAACTGTAGGTTGCATTTTAGATTTTAGACCATGCAGACCATTTTACGAAAGTTCGTTATGTACAGGGAAGCTGCGGCTAGTTGACCAACCCCTAGCAGTTCTGATCCGAAGAATTTCAACAGCACTTAACCGTAGATAACTTTAAATTACAACAAGTTTTGAAGAAACACTTTTATTTGTCTAATTACAACTAACAACGTGAAATTTGAATCTATAGTCGTCCTCCTGAGCGGCTGGTTGGGTTTTTATATGATTTATTATCAACTAGCAACTCAGGCGATTTTCTATTGTCAGCATAATAATAAAAGATACTTATAAGTAAATAGTTGTTATAAAAGAATATACAGATAGTGTGAAAATACATATATAGGGTGTTCGGATAACATGAAGATAACTTTTTTTCATAAAACCAATAATAAAAAAGTTTTACCTTAAATAGACACACTGTATAAGTTAGTTTGAGGTAAATGTTGTCACCACCATTCTTGGTGGTAAAAATTCGAAATATTTGAAATTATTCAATTTTCAAATTTGGACACACAGCTAATACAATGCAAAATTCCGAATATTGAAAATTATTCAATTTTCGTGGCTGAAAACATACATAGGTATCGAATTTTCGAAACCGAGAGAGTTGCACTAACCAAATATGTCTGTCACCGCCGTTCTGACAATAATTTTTTTTCAACCCCTGGCCAGGGGTGAAAAAAATGAGTGTTTTTCAAGATGACTCAAAAGGGTAAGAGCTAGCAAAAAAGTTTCTTATAAAAATTGTGTATAGGTATTTTAAAAAATCATAATCAGAAAAAAAATTTCAGTCTAAACTTTCTTTTCAGAGAAATAGATATTTTTTCATTTTTAATAAAAAAGTTAAAATAATTTCAGTTTTCTAATTGTCAATTTTAATGATTTAACAACACTAAAACAGTTATTTCTCTATAGCTTACGACTCATTATTTAAAATTATGAAAAACTGCTTTCGAAATTTTTTTTATCTTCTGTTTTCGAGCAGATACAAATTTAACTTACCTTGTGAATTTAATTTAGCTCCTAAGACATTGTCATGATAAAGATAAAAAGCCCCTTATTAATCTAGATTCCATTATGACGTCATTATTCAGACGAGCAAACAATTTTTTAATCGAGTACAAATTGAATTTGATGAAATCAAATTTTATCATTTCTGAAACGGTATTTATCTATAAGATACAAACAAAACTTTGGAAAAGTGAAAACTAATATAAAACAGTTTTGCCTGGAAAATTTTTCAAATATTAACCTAAAAACCAAAAATATCAGATTTGGTTAAAATCTGGTACACACTTTGTAAAAAAACTAAATATATTAGTATATCACGTGATCTAGCCATTCGCCCTTATCACTTAAACGGTCTTAGACCCTCCTAATGTTACCTTATTATGGCCGTACTCCAAAAATAGCAGAGGTAAGTGTAATGATGCCCCTTGAGGCAGTTTCTGATGTTCGCGCATCTTTATTTTACGTTTTTTTTACACAAAGAACGACAAAAAATAATCCGTTTGATCTCGCAAGAAGTAATCATCCGGAATATTTCGTAGGTCCCATATCCGTTTGCTGTATGATAAATTTGGAATCAAATAAGTGTTTTTAATATCAAACTCCGTAGGCGACTGAAAATGTTCAATTCGCGATGCTTATAGAGCGGCAAAAACAATCATGTTCTGTCAGACGAGAAAAGCTGAGTAAGCAAAAATGAATATTTCATAAAATATTGCTACAATACGTATCCGAGGTTTAAAATTTTCCAACAGATAAGAAAATTGCATCGTATCTCGTCGCCGCCAGTTACAGACTTACATTGCACTTCCTTAGTCTCAACTAAGAATTTTTGACTTGCCCTTGTTGTTCTCAGGCTAGGTTGTGTAGGGGACGGACCCACTATCAGAACGTCTAGGACCGTTGATGTCCATTTCGGTTTTTTATTGATGGTGGCTTTCTTAGACGTTCCTTAGTGGTCCCTGTAACCGGTCATAACCCATGTAACTGGTCGACGAAATGGACACGACCAGTTACAGAAGCCACTAAAGAATGTTGTAGAAACTACCAATAAGAACTAAAATAACCATCAGAGCGGACCTAGAAGTTTTGATAGCGGGTCTACCCCCACAGAACTTAGCTCGAGAACAACAAAAACTAAAACCAAAGCTACAGAAGTGCAAGGTAAGTCTATAATTGGCGGCGACCAGACACAGACCAAAGAGTAACCATTTGAAAAAATAACATACTTTAAATTATATTCAAGAGCTATGAAAACTTTAAAACCACTAGCGTTCTGTGGTGTTCTCATATTACTTATACGTCACTATAAAGTTACATAGTTGCTTTCTAGGAATTGTAGCATAAAAGTAACCATAAAATATTAACAACCAAAGCCCAAAGTCTTAATATTGACTGTAGTAAGAAAAATATAACGGCAGCAGAAACTTATGAATTGTGAAAGAAATGAAATTTAAATGTCGAATTTTAACATTGTCGGCTTGTGAAACTTACATTTTTATATTAAACATACAAAGTAACTTACCTAGGTTGTTTAAAAGCAAATTTTATTTATCCATAATCACCTTGTAATCGGACTTTTATCCACACATATAACCGTCTAAAGCGATAGTTTATCCGCTAGTGGAATAAAGTAACTTTATTTCATTAGTAGAATAACGAAAAAATAATAGGCCTACAATAAATCAAATTTAACCTATTTACCTACTCATTAACATTAATATTTACAATTATAGATATATAATGCACATTTAATTTTTTGTTTTTATTTTATTTTATTTTATTTTATTTTATTTTATTTTATACACTGTTCAAATGGTACTACCCAATTATAGAACAGGGATTTTACAGACAATAATAAAAGAAGTACATTAATAACAAACAAACAAAACTACAAATACATCATAAAAAAGAAGGAAATAAATAAAATCTATACACTAAATAATACACATAATACACAAATAAATAATGCACATAAATGAAGATTTAATAATACACATAAATGAAGATTAAAATTACATATTTGAAACTACCAGACGTTAAAAATAAAAAAATTTTAAGTCAATAAGGCTGCAGTTAAAGATATCTAGAGAATTTTTATTACAGTTGTTACTGATTTCATAAAGTGGTGAATGTTTGAGTACATTAGTACGAGAAGTTGGTAAATAAGCAGTAAGCTTGTTATATTCGATCACATATATGAAATAGCATATTTTTTCTTCAAATTTAAAAAACACGATGGCACAACTTCATTTATTGTTATTACTCTCCGTTTTTTCCTCCAATCGTTAAATTCTGCGAACTCTTTTTCGCAATGTTCCCTGTATTTCGCTGGCAATAAATGGAAAATTGCTTCTTGAACTTTTTCAAAAACAGCCACAGGATCACAATTACATTCTTGCATTTTTACCAAATTCAGATAGAACTGTTTATTAAATAATTGATAATAAGTAACGTACCATACCAACCAGTAAAACCACCCAAGTAAAATATGGAAACAAAAAGGTCTCTTTGAAGCAGCTGTTTTTTACGTTGGGGGTGATAAGAAGGCAGCAAGAATACAAGTTCTTTATTTTAATGTCTTGTCTTGACTTCAAAATCGCTGTGTGAATTTTTCATATAACAATATCAAAACAAGGCGTCTCTAACGTATTTTTTTTTTTTTGTTTTAGGAACGAACTATTGGCACTGAACGACACCAACACCACCGAGCTCATCAACAGGGCTCTGAATTGGAGCGAGGTCTACAAAAATTGCGGGAACAAACCCACCACACCGGGTAAAGCCCTGTACACTGAATGCTTGATTTCTTTGCTTTTTCATCATTTCTGTCTGCTTTTAGCATATTCATTTTCGTTAATATGGACCTGATCTCCTCTGGGAGTCAAATAATTAACCTATTAGTCTCTTTGGCATAAAAAAAAGCATAAACAAGGGCGATTTTTGTTATAGATGGTGGAAAATACTCAGCTTTAGTGGAAGAAAATAGATCTTTGTCAAAATAGGATCGTTTTTATAAGCGGAATACTGTATACGTATAGTAATTCACACATAACTTCATAAACACTTCATATCATTGTAATAAGGCGCAAAGTACAAAAATGAAAAACAGAGAAGATGACGGAATGTTATACTCATATATTACTGAATTTCGATGCTTTGACCATACGTTGGAACAGAACTCCCTAAACTCCACTACTTATCAAAAGAAGCCATGTATTATTGGAATCCTTAGTGTATATTTAAAAAAAAACTGTGAACTTTTGCGAATATTCACATAATTCGAAGAATTTTATAATAAACCGTGAAAAAGTTAACACTGAGCCATACATTTGATTTCTTTATAGAACTTTCTTTAATGTGGCATCAAAGTACTTTCGTCGTCGCTGATTACGAATCAGAAGTCAGAATTGTAAAATTCAAAATGGCCGATCCAATATGGCGGAAAAATACTTCAGAAAAATTTTTAGTTTTCATGAAAATCAGTACTCGGGAGTTTTTCGGGTCGATGATTACGAAAAAAAAAAAAACCTCAGGACACTATTATAAGAAATATTTCAACCACTTTTCTATATTTTGAACGCATTTTTCAGTTATTCTCTTTATTTGCCATTGTATAAATATTTCTGTGCTTTCAAATTTAATTTTACTTCCACCCTTGAATTGTGGATGTGCCAAAAACGTTCTTAAATTAGATGTGGTTATTTCCTGCAGGTTACTGCCCAGAGGTGTTCGACAAGATGCTGTACTTCATGCTTCACAGCGAATTGTGTTGGCCAGAGTCGCCTCCCGGGAGCGTAGTCAACCACTCTTGTCCCAAGATACCCCATCTGAGTTTCGATCCATCCAATCTGGCCTACAAAGAGTGCTGGGAGAACGGTACTTGGTTCAGAAAAGAAAATGATGGGGAATGGGCCAACTACTCCCAATGCGTCAACAAGGAAGAATTGGAGGTAATTTTTTTGCCTTCTACCAAGCCTTTTTGTTAGGTTAACATTACCCGATAGTAGTTTCTGCTATGTAAGAATGAAGATGTCTTCAAGTTGTTTGAAACATTAGACTAGAAAACTAGAAATTACACGATTTTTAAAAGCTTTTATAAATCATCTCTATCTCTGACTTGAATATACCGCCATGCCCTCTGGTGACATCCTAAACCAACATTCCAGCAGCGTAAAATTTAATCAGACTGTAGACTGTCATACATCATCCATATTTTATTTGCCGTACGGATGGATTCCCGGGATTATTAAATAAATAATATTAAATTATTCCCGTGCCCCAAATTTAGGATGTAAATCATGTTCCAATCCACGCTCCGTATGATTTATCACGCGCCGTACGTTGTTCCCCGAAAAAACTAACAGATCTCACCGTAAGAGAGACGTTTTACTTGCTATACTTGGGATATCACTCGGATGTAACGGAAGTTCTTATTTGCATATTCGCCTCCTTTGAACTGTGTTTATATCAAAACAAGTTTCAAACAAAGACAAACTTGTATTCGTTCTAGCAAGAAATTATGGCATTTTGGGGTTCTATTATTTTTATTATAAGTTTACTACGCCTTTCTTTTATATATGTTGCAGACAATATTCACAAAGCTTGTTTCCTTGAAAGCTTTGTATGCTTTGCTTTATTAGAAAATTAATGGAGAAAATATTTTAATAACTAAGGCAATCAAGAAGGCAATTAAAATAACTAAAACTTTTATAATTAAATACCTGAATACCTTCTAGTATCGTCTAAAACAATTTAATATGAAAGCTGACCCCGGCAGATCAAGGACAAACAGTCGAATAAGTGCCAGCCTTGGCTTTTAGGCCTCTATATTTTTAAATAAAGAGCGTTCAAATAAAAACGTGGTCGAAGTTGGCTCTGACACATTGGAAGTAGGGAGTAGCTTATAGCGACCAACTTAACCCCATTTCTCAACGAGCAGTATAGCAGCTGTCAGTTTCAATAACGTTAATGACTATATAACTTTATTTTAAAGAATAATCGTGATAACAATAACAAACAATTAAAGGAGCTGCGGAAAGTGTCCCCCTCCTTGTTATAACAATAAATTAAAGCAGCTGCTGAAAGTGTCCCCCTCCTTGTTCCAAGCACTTTTCACGCCTGTCCTCAAAGAATTGAAGACATTTTCTAAGATGCTCGGGGTATTGTTAAGTTCACGAATCTTGTCTATAAGTCGAGCCTGCAGATGGTTTAAATCAGGAACAGGCAGTTCAAAATAGTGTTTTTAAGGTAAGGCCACAAAAAAAATCACACGGCGTAATATCACATGACCTCGGCGGAAATTCATGTTCAGCATTGAGACTTATTAGTCGATTTTGGAAAACTTCCCTCAACATATTCATCGTCTCGCCGTATGTGGCCTTGCGCCATCTTGTTGAAAGTAAAAAGTTTGTAATTTCGTTTTCTTCCAGCTGGTTAACAAAAGGAGCGATAATTTCTTCTCTATACCTTTGCGCAGTAAGAGTACCATTAAAAAAAATAGGTCCATAAATCCTCCTTCGATTAAGAGCACACCAAACTCCAATTTATTGAGCGTGTAGAGGGCCCTCGACAAAAAAGTTATCTGGTTTTTCGGAAGACCACATTCTCATATTATGTGAGTTTATGTAATCACTTAAATGAAACCAGGCTTCATCAGAAAAAAAGGTGATATTATGAAGTTCACCGTAGTTGTTTAAAAACCATTCACAAAATACAGCCCGTCGCGGAAAATCAACTTCATGAAGTTCTTGCTGACAAGTTAAACGATAGGAGAACAAACACAAATCTTTTTTTAACACTGTGTGGCAGGTACCGACTGATACTCCCACCATTTGTGATAAAACACGTACAGAAGTTCTTGGCGCATTTTCCATTATTTGTTGGACATTTTCTTTTAATTCTTCAGTCCGCTTTTTAGGTCGGCCGCTTCCTTCTTTTCTTGTTACACTGCCCGTTTCACGAAAAACATTAACACAACGCTGAACTGCACTTTGAAAAATTTTGTACTCAACAACGCCGGGAAATTGATTTTGAAATTCTATGAAACATTCCTCAATAGAATACTTCCATATTCCATCAATCTTGCGTCCATTTCTAAAGTAGGACTCTATGATAAACACTTTTTGTTCTTGAGAAAACACCATTTTAAACGCTTTTTAAAACGAAAATATTCAAATTGATAGCGGCGATATAGCGCTTTGACAGATGACGTTTAGGTTCATTTGCTATACGCTACGCCCTACGTCCAAATTTTCAGAACCAACTTGACCACGTTTTTATTTGAACGCTCGTTACATTTGGGCAACTAAAAGAGGTAAGGGTTTTTTTATAAACATCGAAATCGAATTTGTTTTCCGATATATTTTTTGTACATATTTATATAAAAATGAGTTGCGTATGTAATTTTTTTTTGTCTCCTGGAAAAGCAAGAAAAAATAGTACTAGACCATCACTTGATGACCTTCGACTTGTTCTTGGAGACAATTTTAATAAAAATCACAAGAATCGACACTAAGGCGGTAAATATTGATTCTTGTAACCATAAGACCTGATTTTCATAATTTTGAGGACATAAAAATTGCAACAATAGACACAATACACACTATGATTGTGGCCTTGGCATAATTGGTTTCGCAGTGAAGATCAATGAAGTGATCAAATCCAGTTACCTCAGAATGTAAAAAAAGAATAAAAACTACCCCTAATTGAAAAAAATTGAAAAAATTCAGTTTTAAGCATTTTATTGATAAAAATCTTGCTCAAGCACAAATATTAAATAATGTTCCATGTTCTCGAACATGTTTTATGATATATTTGATCTTTTCGACCCTTTAGTTAACCCTTAAAAACTACCCCTATGCAAAAAATAATGATAAAAAATTACTTTTTAAAGATTTGGAATTATAAATCGTGCAATTATTTAAAATAAACGTTACCTTATAGAAAATAAAATAATTTTTCCCTTTCAACCCCTAAAAACCACCCCTGTATTGACAAAAATGATATAAAAATTACTTTTTAAACGCTTGGAATGCTTTAACGGTGCAATCATTTAAAATAAAAATTCTCTGATTGCTTATGAAAGAATTTGTATCTCATAACACATTTCAACCCTTATAAATCACCCCTGTGCTAAAAAAAATGATAAAAAATTACGTTTTAATTGTGCAATAATTTAAAATAAAAATTCCCGTATATTGTTTATGAAAGAATATTTTACTTTTGCCATTTTCAACTCTTATAAACTACCCTTTTACCAATATTAATGTAAAATATTTTTATTATAATCGATTTTTAAATATAATTAATCATAAAAAATTTGCTACGCTGCATATAAATATTTTATTTGTATAATATAATATATAAATATATTATATTAGTATATAAAAATGAGAAAGCCTATTTTGCTCCGAAAAAATGTCTTTGGTTTTTTTACCATAACTCGGTTAATTTTGAAGCTATAGTATCCTACAAAAAAGCATTTTAAAGATAATTTCAAGAGCTATAAGATCGTTAGCATATAAAACCTTTTAAGTCCTTCGTTTTTTAAAGGGAATGGATCGAAGGGCTCGAGACATGTCGTTTTTTCACTAAAATGGATACTTCAAGCGGCGATATCTCCTTTATTTTTTATGCTATAGGAGTAAAAAAATATCAAAATATTTGTTGAAAAAAAAAGCTACATTTTTGTCGTCTATCATTTTTTACGTATCTTTCATATTTTCGGAGTTATTATATAAATAAGGCACTTTTTTTTGAATAATGATAAAATACGTTTTCAACTTTTTCCGTACATTTTTCAAAAATTACGCATTCTAAACCGGTCTAACTTCAGGATCGTATGAAAAACACTAAAACAAAACTAATTGTAAAGAGTCTACGATTAATTTTAATTCTGATGGAAATGGTACAGCGTTTACTGCTCATTTTTCCTTAAAAAATATGAGCAACCCATCTCTTTTTGACGATAACTCCTTCAATTTTGCTCTAATTAACTTTTATAAGTACTCATTTTGAAAGTCTTTTCGAGGACTACAAAAAACTCCAGGAGCGTTATACACGTAAAATTAATCCTTTTTCCATTATTTGACGTTGAATACATCGATTCGAGTATTCCTCCCAAAACAAGTCCCCTTCCACTAACCATATTTCGCTTTGTATAGGACGTACAACACTTTTTAAATAACGATTTTCTTTGTTTATTTATAAGCTACATTTTTGTGTATTACACTTTTTTTATAAAATGCGTAGTGTTTGAGTTATTCGCGATAAATCCTTTGAAAAAGTGTTTTTTTTTTCACTCAAAATTCAATTTTTTGAATCGTGAATAACTAAAAAACTATTGATTTCTCGAAAATATTCTTCGAATATTTTTTGCTCAAAATTAGAGTCTCTATTGATTTCCAGCGTTATTTTTGAAAAAAAAATTCCACCCCCGAGAAGGGGTGTCAACCCCCAACAGGGTGGAAGCATCAATCGGCGCTATGTTACTAATGTTCATTGACCTTTTCTCTAACTATCTGCCAAATTTCAAGTCGATCGGTTCAGTTTCAAAAAAAAGCTTTAATGACTGTACTAAGAGAGGCTGTGTTATTGCCACTAGATTCCCCGGTAGATAGAAGTTTGCTAGTCGAATTACGCGATGTCCGATATAAGTTGTTTTTGTTAAATATTTATTATAATTAATGTCTCTAGGTTCGTAAATATTTTAATTATTATGAAAAATTACCTAAAGGATAATTAATTTCCATTTAAGGACTTAAATAAAAGAAGGTAAAATTCGGCTTTTATTAAAGTTTAACCTAAACGTAATATTATAATCTATTCAAATTAGCGAAAGACCAATCTTTCCTAAAGCCGCTACGTTTGAATCCGGGCTGTATCGAATTTGCAAACTCATCTTCCTTACAGCTAGCTCCAAGCAAGACCGGAGGGTAAAATATTCTTTTACTGATAAAAATCTCATTTAGTGCCCACGCAGTGTACCATTACATCACTGGAAGTTTCTTTTGCAACGCAGAACAGTTCTTTATTTTTCGAATAAGTCTAGCAACCTGACGGCTGTTAGTCGTCAAAGTTTAACAGAGTAAGCTCAACTTTTGGGCTTTTATGAAGTACCTAACTTGGTCGAAGTTAATATGTTGATGTTTATGTTTATGTATGGGGTATGATAAAGCAACGCACAAGAAATTTCAAAATATTTTCTTGATAAACGATTGGCTGCCGGAATCCCCGATTTTGAGGTACAAGTACTTAAAATTTTAAAAATGCCATTAAATATCTTGTGAAGTACTTTTTTGTCATTTTTTAAATTGAAAATATGGGCGTTATTTTGAAAAAGCTTTGTAAAATTACTCAAAATTGCAGTGCATTTCAAAAATAATCTTAATCTTTTCACGTTGAATATCATTTTACTCATAGAATTTCTTGTCATATCTTCAACTTTTATTGCCAAAAGCAACGCTTCAAAGACATACAAGAAAATGTTTTTAAATTTAGACTCTTGTTCGTTTTTGATTCGTCGTTGTGCTTACAGTATGTGTTCACATTTGGCTCCGATAACTTTAATAGGTCAACTATAAATCAAAACAAACAAAAAAAAAACTTATATCACATGGGCTTTAAACTCAACTAATTTCGAGAAAGAAGATCTATTAAAATCTCCAAGTTGTTGTACAAAACATCGACATAATTTTGTTCACAGAATACCATAAAATGGAAAGTTTACCACTTATTTGAATCTGTTTATGTTTAATTTTAGCAAAGTAACTAATTTTGTTACTGAATAAAATTCGATATAGTTGGTACCACGCAATACGGCAACAGCGCCACGGAATGACAGTAGTATGCTGCTAGCAGAACAATCAGTTGATGTTTGACACTTTGACATTCATGCTCAATGGAATTGTTTTTGTACCACTATTGTGTTAGTTGAAGTATATCAACGTCTTCTTGATACTGCTGGGAGTGTTTTTCTCGCCCTGATAATCATGGCCGAACCCGACAAGTAGAACCTATTTTAGAAAATTCATTGGCACTATCATTTTTAACTTTGTCTTATGTCGAAGTTATGGCAGCCAAATTTGTAACACACTGTATTTTTGTATACCTAATTGTAACATACAGGGTGTTAAAAAAGAGTGTAAAATATTTAAGGAGGTAATAGTATGAACCAAAATAAGCAGAAAAGTCTCAATAAACATGGGTCCGCAAAGTAACGGTTGCGGAGATATGGACCACTATTCGCTTTTCAAACATTTTATTTTATTTTCACGTTTTTCATTAAACATTTGGATGGGTATTGTAGGTGACAGGTTTCTAGGTCCTGTTGTTTTACCAAACCGATTAACAGGCGCTGCTTACTTCAACTTTCTGCAGAACACACTGTATGAGTTTTTGCAAGACATTCTTTTGAATCAGAGGCAACAAATGTGGTTCCAGCTCATTTTTCCATGGCCGTTAGAGAGCATTTACACCAAACTTTTCCACATAGATGGGTAGGAAGGGCCGGACCTGTTTTATGGCCTCCAAGATCGCCTGATCTGAACCCTCTAGATTTCTTTGTTTGGGGATATTTGAAGCCATTAGTGTATGGTACTCCTGTAAATAGCCTGGAAGAGCTGCAGCTACGGATTAATCAAAAGTGTCAAGAAATCCAAACCAAGGAGGGTGTTTTCGAAAGAGTTCGAATATCGTTGAGACGAAGATGTCGTGCCTGCTTGGAAATGGATGGAGCGGACTTTGAACATCATCATAAACCGTTACTTTGCGGACCCATGTTTATTATGACTTTTCTGCTTATTTTGGTTCATACTATTACATCCTGAAATATTTTACACTCTTTTTTTAACACCCTGTATAATATTATTTCAATAAAGCTTATCTTTTTTTCAGTTTCTGACGTTTATAAATAGGTTGCACGTGATTGGATATTCAGTATCTCTAGCAGCCCTAGTGATCTCCCTGTGCATTTTTGTTTCATTCAGGTAAGTCTGTTAAAAACACTGTTTTTAAACTTAAAAACTAGGTTTAGGCCAAATCCAGTATTTAAATAACACATAATCTAATAAACAGTCTAGTTTCTGAATTGTACAGGCATTGTTCTGCAGAGCACGTACGACAAAGTTTAGTTCTGTATTCAGTACAGTTCAATGGCTAAGATTTTCTACAAGTTAAAAAAAAACAAGAGAATTTGTTGTTGTTTATAGTCTGAGTAGTCTGACTTCAACTGAAAGTTAAAAAAGAATTATTGCAACATTTTTATTTATTCATGTATATAAAAAGAGGGAAATAAACATTTATTTCTCACACGAACTCTTATTTCTGCTGCAACAACAGTAAGGAATATTTTGAAATATAAGTTAAAATTTTTGTATATAAACTGGAATACGATTGTAAAATTGTAAATTATAAAGTGAAGTGAAGTGGAAAAGAAAACGGAATTTAAAAGAACAGGCATATATGTGAAAAGACCCTAACGAGGAAAAAAAATTAAGAGAGTGGGAAAAATAAAAAAAAATAAAGATTATTGACTGGTTACCAAAGAATTTGTCAGAGAGAGATAGATACAAATAGAAATAATTATAGTGGAAAATAGTAAGATAATTAAAGTTAGTCTATCAGTATAAAGAAAAATTAAAGTTGGGCCAAAAAAAGACTCAAAAGTCCATTCTCTTAAAAAAAAAGGACTCCAATACGATATCCAGGACAGACAGGACGAAATTCTGGATAGTCACTAACAAGCGGTAGTTCCAAAGATATAACAAATTCAGGAAAAACGAAGACTCCAGGACAAGATTCCAGACGCATAAAAGTAAGCAGCAGGTTCCGGCTATCCATTAACTGCAGGAAGACAAGGATTCCAGGACGATATCCAGGTCTAGTATAAGAGGGCAAGCAGTTCGACAATAAAAATCGACAAGAAGTACGTAGAGGTAACTTTATGCACAAAGAATTACAAAATCTTATAAGAAGCAAAAAAGAGATTGATAAATACAATCTCAAAATTCATATAAAGCCTATAGGAATAATAATAACAAAATTTAAAGTAGTCTTCTCTGAAAATAAATTTGAAATAAATACAAATTCTTCATCCCTGATAAATATTAAATAAATTTAACTTCGCTATACGAACAACTATAATAAATTTTGTCATATTAAAATTTTGATTGATATTAAGTATAAAAGTAAGCTTAGTAACACATTGAGAAAGAAATTTTAAGATAATTTTTTATCGCCCCAAGCATAGGCGACCAACAGTACACAACAACAAATCGATTTGAATACCACTATATAAAAAATGCTCAAGGTGTCACAAAAGTGCTATAAGATAATTTCAAATATTCCTGAAACTGTACCTGGCATTTCACACTTATAATAATTGCTTGTTATAAAAAAATTAAACTAATAAATAAATTCATTTCTGAATAATATCTTTTGTTTAGTGTGGTNTCCAGGTCTAGTATAAGAGGGCAAGCAGTTCGACAATAAAAATCGACAAGAAGTACGTAGAGGTTACTTTATGCACAAAGAATTACAAAATCTTATAAGAAGCAAAAAAGAGATTGATAAATACAATCTCAAAATTCACATAAAACCTATAGGAATAATAATAACAAAATTTAAAGTAGTCTTCCCTGAAAATAAATTTGAAATAAATACAAATTCTTCATCCCTGATAAATATTAAATAAATTTAACTTCGCTATACGAACAATTATAATAAATTTGGTCATATTAAAATTTTGATAGATATTAAGTATAAAAGTAAGCTTAGTAACACATTGGGAAAGAAATTTTAAGATCATTTTTTATCGCCCTAAGTATAGGCAACCAACAGTACACAACAACAAATCGATTTGAATACCACTATAAAAAAAATTCTCAATGTGTCACAAAAGTGCTATAAGATAATTTCAAATATTCCTGAAACTGTACCTGACATTTCACACTTATAATAATTGCTTGTTATAAAAAAAAATTAAACTAATAAATAAATTCATTTCTGAATATCTTTTGTTTAGTGTGGTGTATTGTTTGGTATTTCTGCAGAGTTTTAACCTCACTAGAACTCACTACTGAGAAGGGTCGAAAGCTAGCCAAGGTATAATTGACAACTTAAATTTCAACATAGACCTATACACAACAGGACCATAATTATATTAATTATACAAACAAATCACATACACATACATATTTCTACTCATAACAATATTGGCGCATACACATAAATATTTCTACCCAAAACAATATATTGATACCTACCTGTTAAGTTGTCACTTCCAGTTGTCAGAAACTACTAGATTTAAAAAATTCATTCCTAATGGAAAATAAAATCTACTATGCACCACAATCCAGGTATTACTGAATTATATTGCCCTTGGTAGACATTTATCCTTCGCACCACTGGCCCTCAGGCTAGATTGTCGACGACCTTAGGACAATATAATCCCTACGACGCCCTTAGATCATAAATTTTGTATTTCGATATTACCTAACACTTTATTTATTTCACGTACGGGTACTTTAGACAAGCACATGGAAATATACAACACCAAGTCCCCAAATTCTGGCGTGTTTGTTCTAGTAAACTGTTTCCCAAGATTATTAAAACAAGTCAAACAGGGTATTATATTGATCGATGGCAGGTATAAGTACTGTGACATTTATTGCCTGTATATTATATGTCCCCATTTAAAGACAGGTTGAGTCGATGTTAATAACGTCCACAGTTTAAGCTTTGCTAGAATTATCGAACTAATTATAGCGTAGAACGCTAATAATTTCATCAATCGTAATACACATCAGCCAAAAATCACAAAAGCTGCAGAGTTTGTTTATGTTTAACAGGAAATTAAATTTAATATTGAAAGGAAAGTCCTTCACAAGCAATTCAAAACGCTCTGAATTTTTAACAAGTTTCAGTAAATTGCCTGCAGAACGTAAACACCAATCTTAATTACTACTTCTGAAACAAATTACATTTAAGGACGAATCTCAATTACTGCCTATTGAAACAGATTAACTAATTCGAAAATAAACACGAAGCCAATGGACTTTTACCGTTTTATCCAAGATACTTATTGAGTAAATAAAGATTAAAGGTTAAAATTAGGCCGGAGCAGTTGTTGCTCTCCCAGAATTTCTCAATATTTAGTGCAGAAACATTTTAACGCCACTTTATAATCCTTCCCAAACAATGCCACAACTTTGGCGTCTAGCCTCTCGCACTCTCGACAATCTGAGGCGATGATAGGGGCCGAAGTTGGATAATTAAATTAGTTTGTGTGCCCTTCGACGACAAAAACATCACATTTCCACATTGTAATTGTCAATATTGGGCTAATTAATACACAGCAATCGCTTTTCCAGTTTAACTTAGTGGTAACGTATAACATTGGTAATATTTTTTTCAAGATTTAGCTAAATTTTTAATTTTTGATCTATCAGATGTTTTATATTTATATAGGGTGTTCCATATTTATAAAATATATGAGTATAATGATGTGTTTCTTGAATTTTACAGTAAATATTATTGCACTAGTTAAATTAGGACTTATATTTATCTGCGGAGGTAAAATATTGACCAAAACGCGTTTGACTTTTTTTCATTTGTAACTATCAAATCCTTTAGAAGATCAATTTCGATACTTTTGGATGATGTCTTGGGTCCCATTTTTAAAAGAATACTTAATTTATCGTTGGCAAAACTGCCGATTAACACCAGCGATAAATAAAAAAAGGGCCTGTGAAAAATATGAATTATATCCTCTAGTGATATTTAATCTTCGTTTAATCCCTACCGATATATCAAGAAGTGTCGAAATAAGCTTCGTCTTCCCACAAACCTTCCTCGCCGTAATAACCTTTCTTTGTTAGGTAAGTGCGTCTCGACAAGGTCCATTCAGTGCGGCTTTTTTTCATTAGACTTTTCTTTTGGACCGCGCCAGCTACAATGATTTCAAAGGAAATGGAAGGGCCCAAATCAAAGTCATCAGCCGGAGTTAATCAACCAAACTTGAATCAATTTTCCACTTTGGCTCGCGGACGCATTTGAAATCGATGTTTATAATAGGTCGATTAATAATTTCATAACCAATTTCGACACTGTATTTACAGAAATAAATAGGAAGTATGTTTTCCATTACCAGTGAAACTTATAGCTGCAGTTGTGTGGGTAATTTAGTACAGAACAAATTCAGAAAATTGTTACTTATTTTCTTTCTCTGTTTATTTGCATTTTTCGCTACTTGTGAAAAAAATTAATTGAATAAACCTTTGCACCTAACATTTATAAATATTTGTATAGGGTATTTCACAAATATTGAGCCACCAAACTTTCCCAAAATTGCCTCAAATTATTACACATAAATTTTAGGAAGATAATACTATAAAATAATATTAAAACCCAAACAGTATCGAAATCTGGTCAACAGGCAAATTTGGAAAACCCTATTAAAAATTATTAAATCTCAGGACCCTGCAGTCGAACGATGTCTTATTTTTCCGAGGCACCCTGTATAACAAAGAAACATAAGAGACAGTTGTTGCATGTTCAAGTCACATCTTTTTCAGAACACTGAGATGTACCAGGATCCGGATACATACGCAACTGTTCACCTCCTTCATCTTAAACAACATCATGTGGATTTTGTGGTATGAAAAGGTCATCCCCGATCTTGAAGTTACTTGGAGTAACCCAGTAAGTATCAAATTTGTTTTAAATTACTATTAATGGTAATGTTGGTAACAAGTTGAAACTGAAATATATTTCAAAATGTTAATAAATCACTACTGTTTTGAGAAATATGTTGATTGTGTATATATATACAGGGTGATTTTACTTTAAATACAGAAACTGTAAGTATAGATGAAGGGGATAAAACTTCTATAAACTCTATAAACTTTTTTCCTGGGGAACACGGTATTGAAGATACAGGATGTTAAAGTTTACAAAAAAATATATGTATATTCTCTGTCATATCTTCATATTACGCTGACGGAATTGAATGGAATTTATTACATCGTATTCACTTAATTAAAAAATATATCAAACTAAATAATGAAGTAACATATACAGGGTGATCCATTAACAATGGTAGTCGCTTTTTTGGAATAAATGCCACACAAATTGTTTAAAAAAATCTATGAGATGTCAGTTAGTGTTACTTGTAAGTTGTGCATATTTTGAAGCAAAGTTTATATACACAGCGGAAATCCACGTTTTTTTTGTACTTTCTTCTAAAGGACATGTAAAGTTATACATGCTAAATTTCAAATGTATGTAAACACATTTGGGTCCGTCTTACTCAGTTCCATAATACAAATGTTGTCTTGCTTCACCACAAATTAAAACAATATCCATCAATTCCGAGGTGATATACACGCAACAAATTTTTGACAATAACTACTAAAAAACTTGTGTAAACACTATCGCTACGACGATTGTAAAATCGAATTTCAGTATTCGGAGCTGAGGCCACGTGGCTCTCCACGCGTATAGCGAATGATGCTAGAGATCACAGTTGTCGAGTTTTGTAATGGTTGAAAGTACTACAAATTCAATTTTTTTTTTCTCGGAAACTATAAGGATTTTACAAAACTTTTTTTTACGATATCGACTCCATTTCTCACACTGCATCTATTCCCAAATTATTTTGAATAAGTTGTGAATCACCCTGTATGTTGGTTTGAGTTTGGTATTTTGGAAGAAATCAATAAAAAAATTTAATACACGTGTAGTTTTTAACCTGGAATGATTAGAACAAATATTTGAAACTTTACATATTCTTCAAAAGAAACTAAAGTTGTCATCTAAAAAAAAATATAGATTACGTCGTATTTCCTAGTTAGGACACCCTATTTTTATACCTATACCTATTTACCTATATACCTATATGTATACCTATATACCTATTTTTTATTAAAAAATGCGCGACTTAATATCAATCGACTCTCTGAGCATTATTTTTAAAACAATTTTGTGTTTGATGTAACGAATTTATTCTAAGGTAGCGACTGACGTTATAGAAGATTTTCACGCATTTACAATCACACTAAGTTGATTTTTGAATTTAAATTACGAACCTGTCTGAAAAACTAGCGGAGCAGGTATTTAATTTCACATCTGAATAACCTGAAAGCAAAAAACAGTCAGGAAATACGGCAGGATAAATTCAGGGCCAACTGAAAATGTAATAAGAAAATCTTTTGAGTAAAGCAACACGGGACCTGTCGGTATTTACATATGGGGGATGGGTCCTCTTACCGAAAGAGATTCTCAGGATATTTGCTATTCAATTTTTGTAGATAGATGGTAGATAGACTACAGTTTGCTGTGATGCAAAGACAACGCGATTTTTGTCACTTAAATAGGGTAAACTTTGAATGGGGGTTATATTCATACAACCTTTGACCTTTAAAAACAAATATCAAGTTGTTGTCTCAAATTCTATCCTGTATTTTCGATGTATGAAATCTTATAATACAAGAAATAATTCCACTCCACATCACATTCTACTTTCTTTATCAACCACATTAAAATTATAAAGTCAAAATGTGAATCTTGAAAGATTTCACTACAAATTTCTTCCATCTTTCGAGTTTTTATCTCCTTCCAGGTGTGGTGCCAGGCGCTCCACATAGTGAAAGAGTATTTCATGGTGGCCAACTACATGTGGATGCTCTGCGAGGGCTTGCATCTCCACCTGGCGCTGGTGGTGGTCTTCGTCAGAGAGGAAAGGACAATGAAGTGGTTTTTCGTGATCGGATGGGGTATTCCCGTGGTGATAGTCGCTGTGCATAGCCTAGTAAGGGTGTACGTCACCGAAGACACGTTCATGTAAGTTAATTTAGTTAAATGATTCACATGTGACATCTGTGATTTTTTTTCCAGGTGTTGGTTGGAAGAAATGTCTTACAGTTCGTGGTTCCTTAGCGTTCCAGTACTTATTATTCTGTCTCTTTGCACAGGTAAGTCAAGCAAAAGCTATCAGTAGTGCTGTATATACAGAGTGTCTTGTAACGAATGAGACATGTGGTTCCTGAAGTCAAAATATCTTGTTTTAGTGCAAAAGTTAAGCATATATGGACTCAAAGATGGAAAAAGCAGGGATTTTTCTCGATATTTTTAGACACAGTAGATATTTGTACTAAATTCGGTCTACGTGATGCACGATAAATTCCCATAAATCAAATTTAGTCCAAATGTTTACTATATGTCAAAAAGTATAGGGAGAAAACTTTTTTTTAGTCTTTGACCCCTGTATATTTGTTATTATTAACTTTTACAATAAAGTAAGTTGGGTTGGATCCCAGGAATCTCGCATGACCCATTGGATACAAAACACCCAGTATATTTCTTTAACCACAGCTTCTATTCGAGAAATTTTAAACCAAATTACGCTTACAGACCATCAATAATATAAGGGTAGATGTAAATTTGAATTTATATTGAAATCTCCTCCTAATTCCACTAAACAACGAGTACGGTCGTAAATTGAGAGTGGGTGAAATAAAAAATCGATCAAAAGGACATATCCCTTATTGGTAACAGAGCAGTGTTAATTACAAGGCTCCTCGATGTATTGGGAAAGTTTAAATTAACACCCACAATGTAGACGCCATTAGAGAGTCCATCAAAATGATGAAGTGCAGGTCATAACTAATCAGAAACTCTATATAGTTTAACTTTAATGCAGATTCAGTGAAAAGTTAATAAAATCACAATGCGGTGAAGTCAATGATGTTAATTAGCTTTGAAGGTACTGGCGAGGCGGATTTTCCATTTAAAAATTAAGTTAGGTAACGCCCAAAAGAAATGGGAGATTCTATGTATATATGTAACTGAAACTAATTTAAAAACGAGAAAAAGTCTTATCCGCGAGGTTATTGTAAAATTGTCTAAAAGAACCTAATACAAGACATCTCTCATCTCGCGAGTCAAAAACTTTTATTAGCTAACTTTTCTATTTATTTTAGAAGCCGAGATATTGCAAAATTTACAGCGCGCATCAATCGTAGTTTACGTCGTAAGCTATATTTTGCGAAAAATTCAACTCTTAATATTTATAAACAATTGCGCTACGATTTTTTTTTAAATGGCTCGCTATTTTTGGTGAGATAGCATAAATAGCAACAATTTTTTTCAATTTGTTTATAAGCGAAAAACGCACGGTTTTTAATGCAAAATTTGATAATGTTAATGTCAAAAAAACGGTGATATTTTTTAATAGGTCGCTTAATTACGTCTTTAAGATTACAATGACGCTTTCAAAATTATGTTTGGCTGAAAATTTACGTCTGTAGAGAGTCTTAAAGTTCATAACTTTTGGAGCCTCCGTTATAAACAAATAGAATTGTGCGAAAACTATTGTACCTACAGCGCCCACTTTTGGCACACTTTTGAAGTATGACAAAACCCNAAATTTCTAAAAGTCTTTCAAAAATTATTACTCACATAAATTGTGAATAATTATAATTTTAATTTTTTCGTTTACTTTTAAAATATTTATCTAAAATTTATTTTTTATTTATAAAAAAAGTATAAGAATCTTTTGGATACTTAATTAATACCAACAACATGGTGCAACATGCAAAAATTTTGGTCGTGAAAATTAAAAAAGTGAATAAATAAACATAATAAATTAATCATTTTTTAAAGTAACTGTTTATCGGCATGTCAAAAGTCCAATAATTAATAATAAAATGTAGTTGAAAATATGATAATTGAATTTTTTAGTTGCGAGACATCGATTTAAAAAAAATCATCGAAATTGGTCCATTAGACGCTGAGATAAGTGAAATTTTTCCGAGTGTCGCAATTTTGAACTCGAGAATTCAGATCTGAGTAGCTGTGTGCTTGCTCCCCCCACCACTGATACCTCATTGATTTCACGTGGTCTTGAATATCTTTGAGTGACATTTTAAATGGGACGCCCGTGATTGCAAATTTTGAAAATTTATATCTGGAAAGTACTCGAAATAACAAACCTATTGGTTCAAAAAACAGCCCTTATAGTTTTGCTGTAAATAATGGTTAACTTTAACGGGCTATAACTCCGAAAATAATGGGCGGATCATCAGGTTTTTTTTATATACTCGCCTTTCCGAGTACTTTCGAACCATATTTTAAAATAAAAAAAAATTGAAAAATTTGAAAAAACATTAAATTATTGCAATTGTTTATAAGCGTGAAAATTGCGAAAATGTTTAAACAATCACCACGGCTCACCTAATCGTCCGATTTGAATTTTTCAAAAAGCATTTTAAAGCTTGAGAGCTCTTCTTTTTGTGTTGAAATTTTCAAGTATTCAAAGGCTTTAGATTTTTAGAAATTTGATTTTGAAAATTCTTTAATTTAAAAAAAAATAAAAAATATTAAACAATTATGTATTATGTAAAAACTATAGAACCGAATTGGATAAAATTTGGTGTGATGATTCTATGCACTAAGAAGTTTAATTGAAAAAAAGTATGAAGATCCTAGGTATTATTCAAGTGCCTGAAAAAATTTACAAATAAGCTAGCATTATTTGCAATTTTTTAAATGATTTTTCCGGTATTTGCAACAACAATAATTATTTTTTCGAATTGCAACTAACTCTATTTTGATCAAAATTTAATTACAAAACTTTTTTTCCTCGTCCATTTTTGTCTAAAACGAATAGCTGCAAAGTTGTCGACGAGTAATCCAAGAAAAAAATGATTTTTTTTGCTATTTTTTTTTACTTTTTGCAATAACAATTAAGCCCACGTTTTTTTTATTTGCATAGAAATATTATCATTTCTGATGATATTTAGAAGCCGTTAAAGCAAAAATCTCCGATCATATGCGTTTTACGCAACCCGGAACAGATACCGCCTAGACTATTATTATTTATATTCGTTATCACTTGCAAAAGCCTTACGGAAAAACTACACTTTCGAATAAAAAGACAATGCTTCGCACGTGATAACTAGTAGATACATTTTTTTTATCGATAACAACGTTCCTCTTGTTACAGTCTTCTTGATCAACGTACTGCGTGTCATCCTGACCATCATGCACCCAAACTCGCCCAACCCGGCCCCCGTGGGCATCCGAAGGGCAGCCCGAGCTGCCCTGATCCTCATCCCACTCTTTGGACTGCAATTCATCCTGCTACCGATGGTACCAGCCCAGCAGCACCCGCTGTATCACTTCTACATGTGGCTATGTCTCGTCATTGTTCCATTTCAGGTAAGTCCGTACAGATGTGTCTCTTTCTGAATATTCGTTTATAAAGGGTGCTTTGTAACGAATGGGCCATACTGTAATGGGAGGCTCCTGGAGTCACATGGGGTGAAATATGAAAAAAAAGTCTCTTCGGTAGTTTTTGAAACATCCAGGAATCTTCCATTAAACATTACAGTATGGGCCATCTGTCACAAACCACCCTTTATAAGGATGGTAACGATTCTCATTTAAGGAGGAAATAATGGGAACACGTTTCGGTAATATTAAAATGAGAATCCTGCGCGAACGGATAACCTCCGACTTTTTTTTCATGAATATGCATGCTAACGGCTTAATTTGCCGATCCCCATGCATATTTATAACTTTCATCCATCAGTGTAATCACCTGACTCGAACAAACACAAATATCCACATCTCCCGTGCTCTCGACAACAAAAATTTTCCGATTATTATTGATGTTACTGTTATGGGAGTAATGATGGATTGTTTCAATTCTCTTGTAACTAATGATAGATTTGTTAGAATCATATTAAAATGAAGATAATCAGACGGAGATCGTTTCTTTGTAGTATACGGTAAAAATAATGGAAAGCCGACAGTGGGACATGCAAACGTGTGACCAGACGAATTATATCAAATTGCCGGCATCGATTTCCATTAAAACAATTTACATTTAGAGTAATCCGAAATGTTTAATTACCTCTAGAACCGTAATTTAGTTGAAACGGATTTAATTATTTAATAAGGGGGAAATGTGCTAATGTGCAATAAAGGTGTTAATGACTTGTTCAAAATGCCGAAAATACAGGGTGAATATTAAATTTGTACATATAGTTTAATGTATTTCACAACACTGAAAACTACACAGTACACCCCAAAGCAAACAGGACTTTTCAAAAATAAGAACAACAAAAAGTTTTCTTGACAAAACCAATTTGTTTTATTCAAAATATTCCCCTTCCGACTCCGGCTTCTACGTCCACAGAACGCTTTCCTTTCATCGGGAAATACATTTCTCCGTAAAGATAAAAGTTGGACGTTGCCAAATCAGGCGAAGACTGGGAATGGTTGACAGTTAATTTGCGATTTTTAGTCAAAATATCGGTGACAAGTGTCTATCAATGAGATGAAGCATTATGGTACAACAAACGCTAACTTTCTTCTGCGAGATATTCTGGTTCATCAATTCAAATGTTTCGGTAAAAGTTTTACCAAGTTTAAATCAAAACTTAATACTCTTTGTTCGATGCTCATTTTTGTATCGATGACACAAACATACTTTCTTCAGACAAAAACTCCGCTTCTATTCGTCCAAATGTCATGAAATTTTGACAGTACATCAGTGAGGGATCTACTGCCAATAGATCTCCTCACTAGAAATACCTATTTTTGAGAAGTCCTGTTGTTTTTTGCCTGTCTGCCACCCTATTGTCATGTCACATTACTTAGATGTACGCAATGATCAAGCACGTGGCTACAAAACTATTGGTCAACGAAACTGATCCTCTATTAAAGAATTATTTGTAAAATATAGTTGAATTTATTCTTAGAACTCAAAAATATACTATACCAGTTAAGAAACATATAAATAGCCAATCCTCTTTCAACGTTTAATGAGTACAAGGTGTCCGTATGTCGTTCTTTTTGTGTATTTTGCGCAGAACTTGACATTTTTGGAAGCGATTCTGCTTGGTTAAAGTATAATCTGTTACGTATTTTTATTTTTGAAAAATTAAGTAGATTTTGTCAGGAAAAAGACATTTTCTGTGTAGATAAAGCGCCCGTTTCATATAATATATCATAAAGTTTCATTAGGAAACATGTTCTGAATTAAAATTTATTTGCTTATTCCAAAATAAGCAATTGGTCTAGATGCTTTTTTGTAGTAAAATGAATGCTAAAACTAAAAAACAGATTATTTCCAATATTAGGTAGTCACTAGCGCAACATTTTTTTTCTTTTTAGTTTTCACTCTTTTCTAATTAGGTCCAAATGACACCTAAACAATACTTTATTTTCTGGTAAAAATTACTTTAAAAGATATCCATACTACAAATTTTCACACCCATATTAATCCAGAGAACGAAGAGAAAAATAGGATAAAACCTCCGAATACTTTCACATAGATCCAATTTTTATGAATATGTTATTATTTTTATGATTATATTTGGAATAAACCTTATTTCACCCTGTAGATGAAAAGTTATATATGCTCGATATGCGCTTCTTATTTTTAAGGGATAAAAACCACCCCTCATGCTAAAAAACTGAATAAATATAAAAATAGGTGTTATATAGAATAAAATCATATCTTAATATATAGAGTAAATATTGTTTTATATTGTGGGTTATAATTTATGTTATATTTATAAAGATTCAACCAAGAAAACCACCCTTAATGATAAAAATATAAAATTAATACTTTCTTTGACCTTAAAATGTTTTTATAGCACATATATTATAGATAGAAATCTGTTCAATAGTTTATGGTGTTATAAATAAATTATTACAATATTCAACCCTTAAAAAAGTACCCCTAATAACAAAATATTAAAAAAAATAGTTTTTAACAATTTGAAATGATTTGATAGTACAAACAGGATAAATTAAATTATTTTACCTGTTTATAATACAATTTATAATATATCGCATTGTTTTAATCCTTAAAAACCACCCCAATGACAAAAATTTTACTTCACAATAATCCAATAAACAATCGAAAATTATTTTTGTGTGCGTTATAAGTTTCTTTCTCTTGATTTACTTTAATTTATGCAATACTCAAAATAATTATTTCTCAATATTTTTTTTTTCAGTCATAATTACAAATTTTCAAATATAGTATATTATTTAACCAAAATATTAATATGCTCCGAAAATTGAAGTGGTAAGGTAGCATTGGTTTTTTAACGATAATTTCCTTAATTTTAAAGCTATTAAGACGATCGATTTTGGATCGTCTTAACGATTTTATGGAAAATATCGACAGCTAAAAGTACTGTAAAATTGATTATTTTTTATTGTGTTATTTTTAAGATTTTTGAGGTGAAAGAGTTTGAAAAACATAACCTTCGCCCTCAACTACAAACTTCTAGCAGCGAAAAATTAAAAAAAAAACAAAATATTATGTGAAAAAAAAATCAAAACTTTTGTACTCTTGAATATTTTTCGTATCTTTTTTATGTTTAAAGTTATTTTCAAAAATATGTAATTTTTTTTTGGAATTAAAAAAAATTTTTTTTAATCAAAACGTAATATTTTTAAAAATATGCATTCTAAACCGCTTAAACTTGTATAATATATTGTTAGCACATAAAAAATGTAAATTGTAGAAGAATTATCTTTAGTTTTAAAGCTCGTGAAAAATTCATCAGTTTTTGTTCTGATTTTTATCCGAAAATGAGAATTAACAGTTTTATTTTGATCATACTGTTAATTTTTAAGCTAATGACTTAAAGTCAAGTATATTTTAAGAATATTTTAAAGTACTTTAAAAAATGTTCTGTGCATTTTTCTTGAAAAATATATTTTTTTTAGTTATTTAACGTTAAATGCTTCCAATTTAGTTTCTGGCGGACATGAAATTATCTTCAACCAGCCGTATTTCAGCACCTATTGCACCTACATAAATTAAAAAAACTCAATCTTTTTCTTTTTCTATAAGCTTCATTTTCTTCGTGATGTTTTTACATTTTGAAAATGTACATTTTCAATCACCAATAACTCAAAAAATATTGACATCGAAAAATGTTCATACGATACTTTTTGCTTAAAATTGATTGCATTATTGCTTCCTGGGGTTATTTTCAATATTTTATTTTTCAGCCCCTAGAAGGGGTGGCTTCTACTCCCTGGGCGAAAGCGCACATCGGCACTATATAACTTTTGTTTCTTGAGCTATTTTCTTACAGTTTCATATTAATGGGTTTTATCCGAAAGAATTCGGAAGGGAAACCCTTGGTTGCCTGGACTAACAATGATCAAGCACGTGGCTACAAAACTATTGGTCAACGCAACAGATCCCCTATTAAAGAATTATTAGAAAAATGTAGTTATTTTTATTCTTAGAACTCAAAAATATACTATACCAGTTGAAAAACATATAAATAGCCAATCCTTTTCTAACATTTAATGTGTACAGGGTGTCCGTATGTCGTTTTTTTTTGTGTTTTGTCTTATTCTGCGTAGAACTTTGACATCTAGGGAAGCAATTGGTTAAAATATAATCTATGTAAATGTAAATGAAGTAAATCTTGACAGGAAAAAGATTTTTTCTGTGTAGATAAAGCTCCTGTTTCATATAATACATCATAAAGTTTCATTAGAAAACATGTTCTGAATTAAAATTTATTTGCTTATTTCAAATTTGGAAGCAATTGGTCTGGATGCTTTTTTGTAGGAAAATGAATGCTAAAAGTAAAAAACAGATTATTTCCAATATTAGTCAGTGCCGTTAAATTTTTTAAAGTCCTTACTCTTTCCTAAGTACTTTCAAATGACACTTAAACAATATTTCTGGTGAAAATGACGTAAAAAGATATCCATACTATAAATTTTCACACCCCTATAGGTATTTTACCACATTAGATACGTTTTCCGCGACATCTCATTGCCTACAGTGACACAACCAGTAACGTTTGTAATAAACATCAATTTTCCTCATAAAACCACCCCGAGGTGGGTCTGCCCTGAAAATGAAACCGTTGTACTCGGTACCTACGTGTCTGTAGCTGAAAGACATTATAAATAGCTGCGTCTCAGAGTTCAAGGATGCTCCTGCCCTATATCTGCAGAGTAAACTGTGACTGTGGACGAGGGGTATTTCGTCAGTCTTGGAGAATGACTGATATCCAGCTTTGCATACTAATCCTAGAAAACAGCGAGGACCGGCGCGAGTGTATCCCATGAAAATTAAAACGTACTTTACTGGAAATTCATCGCTCTGGACTGGCACGAAGCTGTGCGCCCAACCGGCAAATAATATACTTAATGAGTAGTTTAATATTCAACAGTTTCAGTGAAATATTATGGTAGTTTTCATAGACATGCAAAATGTCTCACGCTCGTTAGATTTAGGTATAATAATTCTACGCAAATATTTTCTTTGTTTATTTGGTCGTGAAGTAAAGGTAGAAAAATTGTTTTTGACAATTTTAAAACAGCAACTTTACTGAGTATAAAAAAATAGATTGATTTTCGAAACATCTACATGGTACGGCGCATTAGTGTGTCGAAGTACGATATCTCCTTTATTATGAAAGTTATTTACAAAAGTTATAGCCAACTTAAAACTGCACATTTTAAAATTATTTTTGTATAAAGGGTGTCCCATTTTCAGCGTACAAAATTTTACCAGGGTGTAGACCAGGCCAGAATAAGATTAAAATTCTTATAAAATATTTTTCTGCCATGCACTCTCACGGAGTTACAGGGTGTTGTTTAGAAGAAAATAATAACAACTTTCCGCAATAACTCAAAAACCCTTTTAGGGATTTAAGTAATTTTTGTGTGAAGTGTATATCTATTAAAGGTCATTAAAACTACATGGTGCTGATTTCGATCTGACGCCAGGGGCGGCCTAGGCCAACTAGTCCTCAAGGTTATGTCTTCATAACTTTTGCATATCCTAATTTTATATAATTGGATTACGTTTACCTGAATCTGCAATCGATTCTGAACAAAAAATGTGCTCTTGTTTCATAGCTCAAAAATGAACCGTCTTCGAGTAAATTGGGTCTAAAGTTCGACTGCATTAGTTCGTAAAAAAATATTTATCTATTAATTGTTATCTAGTAGGTACCTGTCATTATAATAAGCAAAGCTGTTTACAAACGTACATGTCAAAAACTAATTACAGTACTCGAAGTTACTAGAAATTAAGTTTACAAAACAACAAGATTATGAAATTATTATGAAATTTTTGAAAACAGAGTTTTGGCTCGCCCTATATTCAACTGTTACAATAATAAAGAAATAACACTTTCTCGTAAAACTGTACCAATATCAAAAAGTGATGCCTTCAAAAAATTATGATTAAGTTGTTCTGTCTAGGGTATACAGGACGCTGAAATTGAAATGATTCTCGTATACAATTGACCATAACTTTTAAAATACCCTGTATAACATAATTAAACCATATATGCCAACGTGATATGTTATTATTGTCACGTTAACGTTAATTGTTTATAGTCGACGTGAAATTTTGTTGAAATTTTAATCTCCCGTCAATACTGTTCAAAAACTAAAAAATACATGTAACAATAGCAGTTTAAGAAAAAAAAATATTATTATTCTAGCTAACAAAGCGTTCTAACTTTGAAAGTAATTTTTTTCTTAATAGTCCACATTAAAGAGAGGTAATTAACACCAGCAAAGTGCCGTATTTAACTTTTTAAAAACCAGAACAAAGTTCTTTAATTGTAAAAAGTTGAAGGAGTTAAATTTTCATTAGCATGAAAATGGGGCAAATTTCTAACCTAATTAAATACAAAAAAAAAAGAAGAAAAATTTCCACCTCATGCTTATTTGTAAGGTATTTACTTTTATGAAGATTAACTAACGCGGTGAATTTCTTTATAATTAATACACTTGCTGCTCACTCAACTAATTTCAGTGAATTTATAGATTTCACGTAAAAAACATGTTTTTATCTTGTACTAGAATTAAATTTTAAAAATCCAACAAACATAAAGTGGGCAGGATTGAAACAATTTCATTACAATCAAATAGTTATAAAACAAAAGCCCACCAAACTACTTACTGATGACTAGAGAGCGGACAATGTGTGTCTTTAACCCGAAGAATAGGTCAAATTTTGGTAGAGATGTGTACGCGTTCAAATATGTATTGTGTATAAACTATGCAAAATATAATTATTATGTATAGCAAATATATCGTATTATCCTCGCGAAGATTTATTTAAAATCCATAAATCATGTGAACAGGTTAAATAACGAGAAAATAATTAAGTTAATTTAATTCTAAAGAAATGAAATGACACTCGCGCCCATCTCTAGTCTATCCGTCGACATCGGTTGCGTTTATCGAATTCCTATTGGTCAGAATTCAAACTGCAACCCTGTTATGAATGGAGCGTGAGTTGGACTATTCTATCATGTGCGTCGTCTGAGGATATTCGTTACATTGACTCCTAATTTCCAATTAAAAGAATGACACTATTTTTAACCGAACTTCATTTAATAAATATGTAGTATACAATTTCTGATTTTCTAAATATTTTATAACGCCTAAAAATGTATGTACCGTGGAATTTTCGTGAATTATCACGTAAATTTCCGATGTGTATCCGACACGCCACTGCGTCATGGATAATATATCTAGGTTTATGAATAACATATCTATGTTCAACGTTAAAGACACAAATTGTCCGCTCTCTGCTGATGACAAAGGTTGTCTCTCTCTTTCTCCCAGATGATTTAAGTGTTCCACAAATATGGCGATATTGACTCGAGAAATTAATATCAGTTACAGGAAGTTATGACGCTCTTCTTTACAGACTAATTGGAACCGTTCGCTCCACCTAAGAAAATCATATATACAGGGCTTTAGCGATATATTCTGCCAAACTTTAATGATCGCAAATCATTAGAAAATGTTCCTTAAACATACAAATATGCTTAAAGTGTCACATTAATCAAAATCTCTCTTAAGATGTAGATTAATGGTTTGCACTACTGATTTGCACGCGGGAATTTACCACACTCGCGCAAGCGCTTGTTCGTCAAACAACTGTCTCATAGCGCCTTCTTATACCCCTAGATATCCATTCTTTTTCTTTCTCTAGTATTTACGTTATCACATTTCTTTCTCAGGGATTGTGTTGCTCCTGTCTCTTCTGCTTCGCCAACCAAGACGTCCATCAAGCTCTGAAGGGCTTCGTGCATCGAAGGATGTACCGAAGCGGCCGCTGGAGCAACTACCATTATACTGGAGCCGTGGACAGTGCTGGGGTGTACGTGGTGAACGGTAATAGTCAGAGCCGCAGGAAGTCCACAGACACGACGCGACTTTAAACAGAAGACAGGCAATGGTAGGTTGAAGAAAAAAACTGGGTGATTCAGTTGATTCTCATGAAAATAAAGGGCGTAACTTTGATTAGGGTGATTTATACCTTTAACCATTAGAAACATAAGTTTATTTTCTAAAAATGAAGTAATACAAAAATGTCATATCTCATCAGGTGTATCGATATAACGTTGCTCTCCTAAACTAGGGTCATTGTCAGAGATCATTGATAGTGAGTTTCAAAAAACTAAACACAGTGCTTCAATGGTGGCACTTTTTTCTTAAAATCATCCAAGAGGCCACCCTCTTTATTTAGTCCAGTCGGCAGAGGCCGAAAAGTTACTGTTGGTGACATTTCCTTGATAACTCGGAAATAACTACACAGAAATACTTTAAATGATGAGTACAATAACAGGCTAATTTGTTGACAAAGTATTTTATCAGGAAAAAAAGTTATTCACAATTTAATCGTGGAAAAATTTTTTTTTAGTAGTTTTCTTTAAATAACTCAGCGAGATGACTTTGTACGAAAAAATGCCTAGGACATGATTTTGTTCGTAATAAAAATGGCTACAAAATGGCGGTGGTCCGATTACGAAATTTGCAATAACAAAGCATTGAGATTAAAAAACGGTATAAAACGTAATTTTTTTGAAGTTGCTGTAAAAATGTCAATTATAAACAAAAAGTGATAAAACTTTTGAAAACTATAGTTCAATATATATGACATTAAAGCCGAAATTCAGGATAGCAAAACTTTTTGTTCTATAAGGTGTTATACATTCATCGGGATCTGAAACTCGAAACTTTGCCAAATTTGTTCGAAGCTTTGCTGACACTTGAAATTTGGTACACACATAGTGTAAATATGCAGAAACCAAAAGCAATTTGCAAAATTCAAGTATCTTCATTTTTGCAGTTTTGGTAATGTTTTATACGTCACCCTAGTTTTATACGTCACCGTTTTTTTTTAATTTTTGGAAAAATATATATGTATATTTATAAAATATTCCATCACGTTAGATTAACCAGCACAATTACCTACAATTAAAAAAGTAAATAATTTTCATCGTTTAGATCCTAAGCTACTTAACATTTTGCGCCTGTTAGCCGTAGTGGTACATTATTCAACATATTGACATAAAACAAAATCGTACGTGTGGGGTAAACCTTTAACTTTTCATTTTCTAGCGCGAGCTCCACTCTTCGGCGCTTGAATACTATTAGAAATATGCAACAGTAAATTTAAACAATTGTTTACTTAAAGTTAAAGGTTTACCCCACACGTACGTTTTGGTTTTATGTTGATATGTTGAATAATGTACGAGTATGGCTAACAGGCGCAAAATGTTAAGTAGCTTAGGATCTAAACGATGAAAATATATATTTTTTTTAAATGGTAGGTAATTGTGCTGGCTAATCTACTGTAATGGAATATTTTATAAATATACATAAATATACGGCCAAAAATTAAAAAAACGGTGACGTATAAAACTAGGATGACGTATAAAACCTTACCAAAACCCCAAAAATTAAGGTAATTGAATTTTGCAAATTGCTTTTGGTTTCTGCATATTTACACTGTGTATACCAAATTTCAAGTGTCAGCAAAACTACAAACAAATTTGGCATTGCTTCCAGTTTCAGATGCCGATGGATATAACGAGCGTTCAAATAAAACGTGGTCGAAGTTGGCTCTGACACATTGGACGTAGGGAGTAGCTTATAGCGACCAACTTAACCTCATTTCTCAACGAGCTGTATAGCAGCTGTCAGTTTCAATAACGTTAATGACTATATAACTTTATTTTAAAGAATAATCGTGATAACAATAACAAACAATTAAAGGAGCTGCGGAAAGTGTCCCCCTCCTTGTTATAACAATAAATTAAAGCAGCTGCTGAAAGTGTCCCCCTCCTTGTTCCTAGCACAATCAGGAATAGGCAGTTCAAAAATAGTGTTTTTAAGGTAAGGCCACAAAAAGAAATCACACGGCGAAATATCACATGACCTCGGTGGAAATTCATGTTCAGCATTGAGACTTATTAGTCGATTTTGGAAAACTTCCCTCAACATATTCATCGTCTCGCCTGCCGTTTGTGCCCTTGCGCCATCTTGTTGAAAGTAAAAGTTTGTAATTTCGTTTTCTTCCAGCTGGTTAACAAAAGCAGCGATAATTTCTTCTCTATACCTTTGCGCAGTAAGAGTACCATTAAAAAAAATAGGTCCATAAATCCTCCTTCGATTGAGAGCACACCAAACTCCAATTTTTCGAGCGTGTAGAGGGCCCTCGACAAAAAAGTTATCTGGTTTTTAAGAAGACCACATTCTCATATTCTGTGAGTTTACGTAACCACTTAAATGAAACCAGGCTTCATCAGAAAAAAGGTGATATTATGAAGTTCACCGTAGTTGTTTAAAAACCATTCACAAAATACAGCCCGTCGCGGAAAATCAACTTTATGAAGTTCTTGCTGACAAGTTAAAGATAGGAGAACAAATGCAAATCTTTTTTTAACACTGTGTGGCAGGTACCGACTGATACTCCCACCATTTGTGATAAAACACGTACAGAAGTTCTTGACGCATTTTCCATTATTTGTTGGACATTTTCTTTTAATTCTTCAGTCCGCTTTTTAGGTCGGCCGCTTCCTTCTTTTCTTGTTACACTGCCCGTTTCACGAAAAACATTAACACAACGCTGAACTGCACTTTGAAAAATTTTGTACTCAACAACGCCGGGAAATTGATTTTGAAATTCTATGAAACATTCCTCAATAGAATACTTCCATATTCCATCAATCTTGCGTCCATTTCTAAAGTAGGACTCTATGATAAACACTTTTTGTTCTTGAGAAAACACCATTTTAAACGCTTTTTAAAACGAAAATATTCAAATTGATAGCGGCGATAGAGCGCTTTGACAGATGACGTTTAAGTTAATTTGCTATACACTACGCCCTACGTCCAAATTTTCAGAACCAACTTGACTACGTTTTTATTTGAACGCTCGTTATAAAACCTTATAGAACAAAAAGTTTTGCTCTCCTGATTTTCGACTTTAGTGTCATTATTGTATATATATTGAACTATAGTTTTCGAAAGTTTTATCACTTTGTTATTGCAAATTTCATAATCGGACCACCGCCATCTTGTAGCTATTTTTATTACGAACAAAATCATGTCCTAAGCATTTTTTCGTACAAAGTCATCCCGCTGAGTTATTTAAAGAAAACTACTAAAAAAAATTTTTTTTCACGATTAAATTGTTAATAACTTTTTTCCTGATAAAATACTTTGTTAGCAAATTAGCCTGTTATTATACTTATCATTTAAAGTAGGCCTGTGTAGTTATTTCCGGGTTATCAAGGTTTGACACAGGCCGAACCTCTACCAACTGGACTAATTACCTTTTCGTTAAGCTGATTTTTTATTACGATTATTTTTAAGTAATCTGCCAATTACTTTTTGTCTTGAAAATTGTATAGGCTTAAGCAAAAATCGCGTCACTCTGAGGATTTGGCCCCAATCAAATTTGCCACTTCTTAGTCGGCTCCAATAGAACGCCACAAAGTGAATATAACAATCCCTGAGACTTGGAGAAACCTTTTGAATAAAACATTATGCTAAAGAGGCACAGAGGTTATTAATGCATCTTTCAGTTTACCCCGAACAGAAAGCCATTAATTCGTGGTGGAGGATGAAGTCATTTAATGGAAAATTTTGATTTATTGTTTTTTTTTTCACGAACTTTCAACCAAATTCATTTTTAGGATATCCAGTTTTGAATATAAATAATAAATTTGTGTTAAAGTGAGCGCAAATACAGAAAGATCGATGTAATTTCAAAGCCAGAAATTGGAATTATAAATAACAATGATACATTACAAGAAATATTATAAAATATACAGGATGTCCTATTAATATTGTGAAAAAATTCCGGAGGAGTTTCCTTGACCAACTGACTCACTCCTGTTGATAATAAGTAAACATATGGGACGTCACTCCTTTTTCTTAGGTGTCATATTTTTTTCTAATTATGCGATAAAAATACTACTTTTTTTGTCTCTTTACTTTTTTTGATACCTAGCTTCGTTTTCGAGCAAAAAATTAATAGCTTAAGTGTGTGATTTTAATAAGTACTTGAACTCTGTAGTTGTCAATTCCTGTTTGTCAAAACGAATTACTCAAATAGTGAAATGTGCGATATGCATTTTCTTTATGGCCTTGCCAACGGTAATGCATTAGCCGCCAGGCGCCTCTATGAGCAGAAATACCCTAATCGTATAATTCCTCATCATACTATCTTCACCCGCCTTCATCAACATCTTAGTGAAACTAGAAGTTTTTGAAAACTTACCGCAGAAAACGGGCAACTCCGCACAGCAATAACCCTACAATTGGAGGAAAATGCACTTCATGAAATTAAGGACACTCCAGCAACAAGTACCAGACAGATTGCTAGAAACTTAAATGTAAGTCGTTCTACAATTTTCAGGATTTTACAAAATAATCTTCTACACCCTTATCACATCCAACCGGTTCAGGCACTTTTACCGACTGATTTTCCGTTAAGATTAGATTTATGTCGATGGATACGACAAAAGATTGGGGAAAATCCTCAATTTTTAGCAGAAGTACTATTCACGGATAAGGCGAAATATATGAGTCGGAATTGTGGGAGACCACTTATAGGCCCATTTTTTTACCACCATGGCTTACTGGAGATGTTTATCGCCGTTTTCTTGACGATGAATTGCCCATACTTTTGAAAGACATCCCATTGCCATTAAGGTTGCAAATGTATTTTATGCACGATGGTGCTCCACCCCATTTCAGTTTAGCTGCACGTGAATATTTGAACAATATCTACCCAAATCGCTGGATAGGTCGAGGAGGCACTCAACCCTGGCCCCCGAGGTCTCCCGACTTAAATTCGTTGGATTTTTTCCTTTGGGGTCACCTCAAACATTTGGTTTATACGGCTCCAGTGCAAACCATAGACGAATGAAGAAACCGCATAGTCGCATCCTGTGAAACAACTAGACACAGCCGGAATATTTGAACGGGTTCGCCAATCAATGTGTTGTAGGATAGACGCCTGTATTAGAGTTGAAGGTGCATATTTTCAACAACTGTTGTAAATACTTAAAAACACACCGTCTGCGATCAATGTAAGAATCCTATTACGTACGGTAAAAAAATCGCACAGTTTTCCTAGCAACCGCCTAGCAACGGTCAATACAATACTGTTTGTATTGACCGTTGCTAGGCGGTTGCTAGGAAAACTGTACGATTTTTTTACCAAGCTGTGCGATTTTTTTTACCGTACGACGTAATAGGAATCTTGCATTGATCGCAGACGGTGTGTTTTTAAGTATTTACAGTAGTGGTCGTAGGTAAAGTATAGTACGTAATACGTGGTGTAATGCAATTACGCACTCATAGAATTACGCACTCGCCGCTACGCGGCGTCGTGCGTAACTTTTCCATTCGTGCGTAAAATGCTTTTTACAACACTTATTACGTAATATACTATTTCATATCATTGCTGTTCGTTAAATATTTTTTCTTATGTTTCTGTTAATATTAATTATTTAAAAAAATATTAATTACTTAGTTATTTTTTCTCAGCTTGTTACATTGTTTTTCCTTCAAATGTATCGTTAAAGTTGATTAGTAAATAACAAACATACCAAATTTCAAAAAAATCGGAATTAGGGTTCTCCAGATATTAGTAAAAACCTTGTATTTTCTCTAAATTTCAACACCCCGTATCTCCGAAACGAAGCATTTTTGGGCATAGGTTTATAGGAACTTTCTTTCTTATTTTTGGTCAAGGAAACTGCCCCTGAATTTTTTCGCAATACTAATGGGACACCCTGTATATAAATTATGAAATATAAAAAAGTAAATATAATATTTTAAATTCTCGTATTTTTTAATTACACCAATCCTACAGGGTGTCCCACGGTGACGAGACATTAGACATATTTCAGAGACTACTTCAATTTTAATTTTGAAAATTTGGGCAATAATGTTTTCGAGCATGCTCTTCTCAACTAAAATAATTACGTCCACCTAACGCTTCCGGTTATACCGGAAGTTGACGTCATCTTCGTTATTTTAAATGGAACACCCTGTATAGTATTGCAATTTTAGATTCTACGTCAATTTTTAGGTGAACTTTCATAAAGGTTTCTTATTCTTAAAGTTAACCGTTTTTAATATATTTAATTTTTTTCAAAAAAAATTAAAAAAGCACTGCCTAATTCAAAAAAATTTATTTTACAACAATAAAGTTTATAGGGGACATAACTAAAACTCTAAGCTTCCCTGCCATAATTTCAAAATGACTTAATTTCGTACAGGGTGGTAGAAATTTAACGCCGAATTTAGTCAACTTTAAACTATCTTAACTTATTTTAATTTAATTTTGTTCTCTTTGGTTCCTAATGGTTCCCTATACTTATCTCTTCTATTACTATTTACTGTTTTTCGTGCAGCCAAGTGAGCCTCAAATTTCACGTAGAATCCTAAAATGCTTTAATATCTAGGGTGTTCCATTTAAAATGAGAATGTTAATGTCTACTTCTGGTATAACCAGAAGTGCCATAAAGTTCAAAATATTTTAGCTGTCTTGGCCTTACTACCTCTTCTAGGTTGTCAAATTTTCAGATTTAGCGGATCAGTACTTTCCGAGATATCGATAGTGACGATTCCTGATGGGACAGTCTTATAATGTATGATATTTTCTTTAAATGTAACGTACACAATTGGTATAATCTACTGTAATATTAAATTCATCAGAGGAGTCTGATAAAAAATGATGGTTTATACGTAAATTCAATAATTAATTTGTCACATTTGTAATGAAAAAATAAGGGAAACGAATACAATTAGTTCATATTTTCACCATTTTTCGAGTTTAACCATTTTAAATTATTATTGAAATTGCATGTTAAAAGTTGCTAATACTTTATTTCATTTTTACAGTCATGGCAAGTTTTGGAGAGCAGTTACTTCCTGGACAAACAAAAACCCTTTTTACATGTATATATTTTAAGGATTATTCTTAGCCGTAAAGATTTATAAGCTATTTATTTTTTATTATGATAATAATATTTATTTATTTTGATTAAATGTGTAAATACATTGTCGTATTGTTAAAAATAATAGGCCGTTTTGGCAGCATGTACCTTTGACAAACCCAAACATATTAACGACACACCCAACTTTTAGTGTTACAAAATCCAGACTACTGCCAAAATGGCCTATTATCATTGTAAATACATTATTGTATTGAGATAAATGGTATATTCGTAATAGGCGTAGATCTTAGGTGATTCCGAAATAAAATGATGTAATATTTTTTAATTCACCTCTAGACCAGCACTCTTACTGTATTTCGTTGGGCAAATTTTAAAAGGGAGAATTAAGACGCTTACAAACTACTCCTCATCGAAATTGATGACATAAATTTAAGCATATCTTTGTATCTGTACCGTGTATGTACGAAATAAAGTCATGTGAATATCAAAACGTCTTTCTTTTCAACGGTGTCCCTTCCCTACGCAGAAGTCATCAAAACAGGTACTTCTCTGCAAAAATATGAATATACAGGGTAATTCGTAAGTTAAATTTTCAGTTGGCAGTCACCTAGCTGCAAAATATTTTTATGTCCTAGATCGCTAAAGTCTTTTTCGTTCTAGAATATAAATAGTATATTATGTTACTAGGAGTAGAAGGCGATCATTATGTGTTGAGCCCAAAAGTTTGCTCGCCGAGGCGTTAGCCGAGGCTGAGCAAATTGGGCAAAACACATAATGAGCCTTCCACTCCGAGTGACATATACTATTTTTTCTACAAGCGTGAATATAAAAAATTACTAATTTTGAAAATCTATAGCGGATAACGCGATGTTCAATCTCAGCACAAAATAAAATCAGTAGGTAGGTAATACTATTTATTTTATACATTTTATACATTTTATTGATTAATTAAACATGACAGTTTTAACCACTTTATTCATGAATAAAAAAACAAATGTAACAATTATTTTTCTTTAATTTGAATTAAACGAATAAACATCTAAATTACCTACATGTCTATCATCAAACTTTATTTATTAACATGAATATTAAATGTGCAATTTTGTATGGTACAGTTGTTGATATTTAAAGCGCTGCTGGCTGTCTTTTTTTCAAAGTTTACAGTTCTGTCGTTGAATACGTTACTTGTAATAAGGTTCTCAGTTTCAGTGTTAACAATTGTACCATTATTAACAGAAAAGTCTTCGATTAAATTATTTTCAGGATCAATATTTACAGTTTCGCTTGATGTACTTGGTTCATTATACTCTAATGGGTTTAATATTTTCATCGCTATCTGTTTCTTATTGTTTACAGAATCTTCAATGTATCCTTCAGCGACGCTGGTAGATTTCCATCCACCATGTCGCTTTAGGGTTGTAATGTCTCCACCATTATCAACTAAGATAGTTGCCGAGGTTCTTCTAAGGCAATGCCCCGTATATTCATGTGGATTTGGCAACCTTAAAAATGATGCAACATCTTTTGGCACTTTTGAAATTTTATGTATGCCCATTACAACACGATGACAATGGCCATTTTGATATTTAATAAAAAATCTATCAAAAGTTATGTCTTTTGGCCGAAGAGTAGCATATTTTCTGTATAAATTTAAATAAAACTCTCCAATTATGGTAAATGAACGATGTTTTTTAGTTTTTGTATTGGGAATATTTACTAATATTATATTTCCCAAATCTTTTACATCATTAACTTTTACTTGAATGAGTTCATCGCATCTACAAGCTCCTGTGACTCCAAATATTAGTGCAACCTAAAAAATATAGAATTATTAATTTTGTAACAATAAAAAAAGTTGGAAAATGCAAGGAAATTCTAAAACATGACGTAATTTTAAGACATCTATATTTATGAGTTTTTACAACATTCTTCCAATGAGCTATCTTTATTTCCGAAAATTGTTTATTATTCTCGTAATGGATACTATAAAATAACTTGAAGTTTACAAATTATAACAAAATTTTGTATTACAAATATAAAAAGGTTAAATATATATCTACCTATAATTTAAAAAGTACATACCTTGGTTGCTAAATATTTATCATCAGGTGCTTTATTCAGGAATTCGTCAAATTCTTTTTTAGACAAAACTTTCGACTTTTTTGGTTTATAATTTTCACCTTGTCGTTTCAAAAATGTAATTAATTTTGAATATTTCTCAATATTTACATTGTGTTCTATGTTTAATTTAGATTTTACCATTGAATATTGCGCCCATAAAGTTGAACTTTTCAGTGTTCTGGATAATCTTGTAAAATATGCTATCATCACATTTTCTGAATAAATATGTGCATTATTTTCTTTTGCCCAATTTATGAATTTATCATAAGCATTTTCATAAATTTTTCTCGACTTTGTTGGTATAAGTGTTGCCACTGATGTATTTGCAATTTCCAGTAATTCTGGTGGTGTGCACTGCATTTCTTCAGACATTTTAAAAACGACCCGACGCGACATCAAATTTCAACTGACACTTAATGAAACGTCAAAGCTTCTTGAATCTTTAATTCGTTGCTAGGATACTTACCTACACATTGTTACATTTTTTTACTAGTTAAAAAATGAAAAATATTTGTACTAGTTAAACAATATGCTGCTTCTAAAGGAGGTGTTGCACTATATAATATAAGTATTATTATACGCTTGAAGAAAAACAAAATAATTTGTAATTTTTATTGCAGTTTTCGAAAAAACATTGTTTGCAAAATAACTGTTCTCGAACTTTATGATCTGGGAAATTTCCATGATTTGTTCTTAATTTGCATATTGTTTTTATAAATTGTTCTCTCTACATTAATTGTTTTTAAACTGGGGTTATTTATTCGGATTTGAATTAATTTCTTTGTATTTCTTACTTTGGATGCTTGTTTTTCTCCGCTCAATGTTCCAACGTCAATCTTTAAGTTTTATGAAAAATGTCTTCCTGAGATATCTGCTAACCAGACATTGCCTTGAAATTAGACTATTTCGCCATTCCATCTACTATCTATTGACAATTATAGAGCTGTATTTAAATTTTGAAAATGCTTTCCTATGTACCTGCTTGTACTGTCATTGGTGATTGATCGAACGTTCTTGAAGTTCTTACAAGATGGAAATTGTATAGACAAGTTTGGCTTGTTTTTAGGGGACTAGAACTTTATTTTTAATCAAATGGTCCTACACAAGTGGATTTGGGACCGTCTGACACGGATTTGTTTTTGTAGAAGGAAGAGGAATTTAATTTAAATTAGGTAATTTGCAAAAAGAAAGCACAAGGAGGGTCTTTAGTATTTACGAACGGAAAGAAATTGTACTTAATTTTTTAAAACACAGTTTAATTACTTTAGCGACTTTCTGTCAATCACAAGCATATTTCTTTCGAAGGTATTACATTTAAAATTAATCGTTTTATTGTAATTTCAATTCATTTTATAAGAGAATAAATTTTAATTTACGTTACCTACGAAGGAGACCGTCTTTCTTCAAATAGAAAAATAAAACAAGTATTCAGCATTGCTTCTAATTCTATATTTCACTGGTAATATATATACTGTACTTGGTTGAACCTGTTCTATTTACGGATGGGGCAACTGAAAATTAAAAAGTAGATAGGTAGGTATGTAGGACTTAAAAAAAGAGTAAAACATTTTAAAAACAAAAAAGCCTTTTTGTTTTTAAATTTTTTTACACATTTTTAACATCCTATATATGTATAAAGTTTAGTTTACTGAAAAAAAATTACCTTGGGAATATTTTCGCCATAACATTTGATGGTTAACCAGGCGGTGTCACATACATCCGACCCATCTAAAGAAAAAAAAAACATCAGGTTGAATATGAGTTAATCTGTGTTATACAGGGTGTTTTCTAGTAAGTAGGTATATGTCGTAACTGGAGGAAGTTATTCTTTCGCATATGAATTATATTTCGGTATTAGAAAGGAAGTAAAAATTTCAAGAAAGCATAATACTTTTCAAACTACAAAGAAAAAATCTTATGCCTCTATACATACATAATCTTTTTAGGGACCTTTTTAATATTTCTAAATTACTTACATATAGTTCCACAGGCTCGAATTCTAGAAGCATACTTGATTCGAAACTCTTCAGGTATGTTCTCGATAAGCTTTTCATAATCCATAGTACCATCTTCAGCCATCTAAAAAGAATCGTTTCTGTAGATTTTTTTTATCCTATAAAAAGATAACAAATATCGGATTTTTAACTAATGATATTGCGGGAAATAACTACTCTGCCGGTGCAGCATCAAATTACACCCGCAATATCTAGTTATACTTTTTTAGTTTCTATAGATTACGTATCATTATTATTTAACATTATAGTAGACAATTTGATCTAAGATAAAATTTTATATCAAATATATATTTACCAATCCAAGATATTCGTGAACACATTTTACGTAGCATTTCAAATTCTCGTCATCAGCAAACTTGCCGTCTCTATTAATATCCATAACCAAATCTGAAAATTAGTTTATAATAACTTTTTTCATGAACATTGAATTTTTTATAATTATATTTTGTAATTAGCTATAGGTGTCAAATACACAGTGTGACCCATTTATTATATACCGCCCTGTAAAAACCATATTTATTGTGCGATTTTAACTGGATTTTTTTTAAGATGTAAATGGTAGATTGATGGAAGTGACAAGAATATAATTATTTAACTTTTGTTGGTTTCAGTTTCATTATTTTGTTTATAAATTTCTCAAAACAAATATTATTAATAATAATTGTTATAATACCACATTACCAGAACTTAATTAATTTTGTTTTGCTTCATAGACAACTTGATATTAATAATAAATAAATGAAAAAAAATAGACTTCTGAATTGTTGATTTGGCTACAAAATCGTTATTATTTAAAATTCTTCTATAAAATTTGGTATTGGCCCATTTTGGGGGGTCTTGAATCCAATGGCGTAAATATATTTTTTCTCAAAAAATCCCTAATATGAAATATTAGAATTTTACTCCTAAAAACAGACGTAGTACACCTTGAATTTTGTGGGATCACACTCATTTTCCTTCACAAAACACACTTCATCAAGCTCTACATCTTAAAAAATTTCCGGCTAAAATCGCAAAATAAATAAAGATTTTACAGTATGACTTAAAACAAATGGGTCATACTGTATGTTAAATTATACAGGGTATCCGGAAAAGAATCTTATATATTTCAGCGACGGCAAGAATTTGGTCACTTTTGTTCGACAAAAAAGTTACCAGGCAAAAGTTATTAGGGTCCAATATTAAATTTTCAATTCCTAATTTTTTTTAATTACTCCGTTATTATTTGACCAATTGTAACGAAATTCAATGGGGTTGGGTTATTATTGACGTAAAATAGAATTATTTGAACGGCAACAACTTTTCCCTGTTAACCTTTTTATCTGAACAAGAGTAGCTCCTACATCTTTCCGGTTTGTTGCCCCTGAAAATGTATCATTGTTTTCCGGACACTCTGTATAGTTCGCAGGGAATACATAATAAAAATTTAAGAACCTTCTGAGACTCCAGTGCTGGCTAAGCAAGCAGCGCGAGCTTCAGCTTTAGCTGCTATAAATTTACTTTCAGATAGACCCTGAAATGAAATATTTATGTACAGGGTGCCCCAAAGTTCGCAGTCTCGGGCCCATAACAGACAAACGAAAGACGACAGTAAAAAACTGTTTAGATGGCGTGAATAGGGACTCGCTAAGGTCCGTTTTGCACTTGAAAAACTTTTTTTTTTCAAAATTAGGAAAATAAAAAAAATGTCATCAACTTTTTTTCCACACCCATTTTTTATGATTATCTATTTTTCATGAACATTTTTTGTGCAGAAATTTGTCTCTAACTCTTAAGTTACAATAACAAACATTATACAAAAATGTATCCTGTTGTATTGAAATTAGTCTCGATTTAATCAACATTACTGTGAAAAACAATCGCTGTAACTCCTGTCACAAATTTGTTTACATATTAGTTGTTATGTTCTTCTTAAAAAAGGTCATTCTACAAAGAAAAATAGAACAAGACACATAATGACGGTTAAATGGGATAACCAAATATAGAAAATATTAAACAATTTTAATTGTAACTAATAAATATAACAATAACTAATAGCAAAACACAAAACAAAATATAAAATTATGATTATTACTTTAAACTGTTCGATATGCATGCCTCCTACTTCTAAGCATTTATCCAATCTTTTCCTAACTTCCCTTGTAGCTTTAAATAACATTTCTCTTGAAAAAATCTCACAAGCATGTTGAATATTTTTGCTTTAACTGCTCCAAACTTCTCGTTATTGTTTTATATACTTGATTTTTTAATGTTCCCCATAAAAAACAGTCTAGGGGCGTTAAGTCTGGAGACTTTGAAGCCCATTCCACAGGCCCATTAATTCCAATCCACTTTGTTCCGAAAGTATTTTTTAAATACTCTGTAACTATTTTAGCTTTATGTGGAGGAGCACCATCGTGTTGCAACCACATATTCAACCTGAGTTGCAGCGGCACATGTTCAAACAGTGCTGGAAGCTCCTCTTGCAAAAACTGTAAATAGCTATTAACGTTCAATACATTTTCATAAAGGTATGGGCCAATTAGACCAGTGCTTAAGCCTTCAAAAATGGTAAAAAGTGAAAAAAAATTATAGTATGATGAAACCCATTTGAAAAGGAAAAGAATATAACAGAAATGAAAAGAAACATAATTTACGGGCGATCTGAGGTCGGGAAGGTGAAGGGGGTGAGTTTTTAAGGGTAAAAAACGGTTTATCTTGATTTCCGGAAAAACTACAAGTCTTATGGAAGAAAGTTAATTGGCAAAGTTGTAGGTAATAAAAAGATCTACAACTTTTGTATTTACACTTTTTTTACATAACCTCAAAATTTATGTGAAAAATTCAAATAACCAAGTTTTTGGTTTTTTATTTTTGTCTTTTACAGAAAAAAATTTTTTTCACGAAATTTGGTGAAAACTTACCTATTTATGTCCCAAACACGCTGTAATTTTTTTGATTTGAAATATTTATTTTTTCACCTTATTTTTACTTAATATCGAAAAAGCACCCTAATTTTCAATCGAAAATTCTCACGTCAAAATATCTGCTTTTTTAAAAACGTCGGTGGGCTTTTTCTTCGTTGAAATCTCTACTTTCTGATGGTGTAAAAAAAAATATACATTACTATGGTAAGTTTTCTCAGGAAATGCAAAGAAACGAAAGAAGATTCTACAACTTTCTCAAAATATTGTAGATGTCTTATTAAATATTAACTTTATTAACTTATTTGGTTGTTAATTATAATAGTATATTTCGACTTGTAATTTTTTTGTTTATCAATGTAACATGGAATCTTACGTTTTTCGAGTAATTAAAGTGTAAATTTTAATAAATAGCTCAAAATTGTACATAATGATTAGAAAAAAATTTTCGGATTCTAGTTCGTTTCTTTGCATTTCCTGAGAAAACTTACCATAGTAATGTATATATTTTTTTACACCATCAGAAAGTAGAGATTTCAACGAAGAAAAAGCCCACCGACGTTTTTAAAAAAGCAGATATTTTGACGTGAGAATTTTCGATTGAAAATTAGGGTGCTTTTTCGATATTAAGTAAAAATAAGGTGAAAAAATAAATATTTCAAATCAAAAAAATTACAGCGTGTTTGGGACATAAATAGGTAAGTTTTCACCAAATTTCGTGAAAAAAAAATTTGTTTGTAAAAGATAAAAATAAAAACCAAAAACTTGGTTATTTGAATTTTTCACATAAATTTTGAGGTTATGTGAAAAAAGTGTAAATACAAAAGTTGTAGATCTTTTTATTACCTACAACTTTGTCATTTAACTTTTCTCCATAAGACTTGTAGTTTTTCTGGAAATCAAGGGAAACCGTTTTTTACCCTTAAAAACTCACCCCCTACCCCTTCCCGACCTCGTAAATTATTTTCCTTTCATTTCTGTTATATTCTCTTTCTTTTCTAATGGGTTTCATCCTACTATAATTTTTTTTGGTTTGAAAAATTGTCGACCCTGGTCTAAATTAAATGCATTCCAATAGTGCCACACCAAACATTTATTCTATAATGGAATTAATATAGTATGGATTTTCAGTGGCCTAGTAATGTTTGTTTCTTTTATTTGACTTGCCATTACTTATAAAACGACTCTCATCGGTCCAAAGAATGTGTTGTAAAAGTCTATTATCTATTTCCAAATTAACCATTATTTGGGCTACATAATCAAGTCTTTTTTCAGCATGTATGTCAGGTAAGTACTCCAAGTTATTTCGCCTATAATCATGGAAAACCATTGGAGCCCAAAATTCTTTGTACTGAGCTTCTTTTTAAATTTAATGCAAAAGTGGCCTGTTGTATTGAATTTCTAGGATTTTCCTCAAAATGTAATACCCTAGCTACGGTAATTTTGTTACACTGATTTTGAAATTCCTTTCCCTTTTCTTAATAAAAATGCATTTTCGTTAGCACGCAAAATTTGTTCTAATCTGGCAACAGCTTGACGCTCTGGATATCTCCCATGATACAATTAACAGCTCTTCTGGCATTTTTTGACATTCACCATAAATTAAATCATGTCAACTTTTTCATTGTTTGTGGACATTTTCTAATTTTTAGCAACTACTTACTAGTTTGTTTATCGTGCAAGAAATAGCGTTTGACAGAAACTAATATGCAAACAGACTTGTGACAGTAGTTTAAGCCATTGTTTTCACAGCAAGGTTGATTAAATCATGAGTAATTCAAATACAATAGGATACACTTTTGTATGATGTTTGTTATTGTAACTTACGAAGAGAAGAGATAGAGAAAAAATTTCTGCACAAAGAATGTTCATAAAAAATAGATAATTTTAGTTATAATGATCCTGAACTGCCACCAAATGATCCTGACCTGCCTCCAAATGATCCCGAACTACCTCCAAATGATCCTAAACTGCCAGCGAAGGATCCCGAGTTGCTACCGAAGGAATTTGATAATGATTCTGAAGCGGATGAAACTGCAGCAGCTGCAATCGGTATTGTGATGAGATGGACACTATAACTGTAGGTTTCTTTTATTTTTTGTATAATGTTTGTTATTGTAACTTACGAAGAGAAGAGATAAGAGAAAAAATTTCTGCACAAAATATGTTCATAAAAAATAGATAATTTTAGTTATAATAAAAAATGGGTATGTCGTGGAAAAAAGTTTAATACGTCATTTTTTATTTTCCGAATTTTAAAAAAATATTTTTCAAGTGCAAAACGGACCTTAGCGAGTCCCTATTCACGCCATCTAAACAGATTTTTACTGTCGTCTTTCGTTTGTCTGTTATGGGCCCGAGACGCGAACTTTGGGACACCGTGTACATAAGATGAAAGAAAATTGTCGGATTTGTCAACAAAACTACTACTACCTAACGTAGGTTTTTTAAATTTAAAATAATTGTATTTGTAGACGATCAAATTCCTCTTCCTCAAATATTCAATTCAAGAGAACTTAACACTAATACAGATAAGTTGAAAATTTTAGTGTTATCGAGAAATATATAGTTTAAACAAAACTCTGAGCAGCCCTCAAATATAGTTAAAAAAATGGCATTCTTTTAGCTTACTTATTTATTGCAACAATAAAAAGACTGTGGCAACATAACCTCGTATATCACTTCATAAAAATGTTTTTCAGAATTCAGAAAGTAAAAAACATTACCTTAATCGAGGTGAGACAAAATAGAACATATAATAAAGTTACACTTAGATTCATGGCTTCACTTATTGACACAATCGAAAACTGGAAATATTNCAAAATTCTTTGTACTGAGCTTCTTTTTAAATTTAATGCAAAAGTGGCCTGTTGTATTGAATTTCTAGGATTTTCCTCAAAATGTAATACCCTAGCTACGGTAATTTTGTTACACTGATTTTGAAATTCCTTTCCCTTTTCTTAATGAAAATGCATTTTCGTTAGCACGCAAAATTTGTTCTAATCTGGCAACAGCTTGACGCTCTGGATATCTCCCATGATGCAATTAACAGCTCTTCTGGCATTTTTTGACATTCATCATAAATTAAATCATGTCAACTTTTTCATTGTTTGTGGACATTTTCTAATTTTTAGCAACTACTTACTAGTTTGTTTATCTTGCAAGAAATAGCGTTTGACAGAAACTAATATATAAACAGACTTGTGACAGTAGTTTCAGCCATTGTTTTCACAGCAATGTTGATTAAATCATGACTAATTCCAGTACAATAGGAAACATTTTTGTATAATGTTTATTATTGTAACTATTTAAGAAGAAGAGGTAGAGAAAAAATTTCTGGGTATGTTCGTGGAAAAAAACGTTTTTCAAGACCAAAGCGGACCTTAGAGAGCCCCGATTCACGCCATCTAAACAGATTTTTACTGCCGTTTTTCGTTTGTCTGTTATGGGCCCGAAACTTTGAGACACCCTATACATAAGATGAAAGAAAATTGTTGGATTTGTCAACAAAACTTAGTGCTAACATAGGTTTTTTAAATTCAAAATAATTGTATTAGAATATAGATAGTTTAAACAAAACTCTTACCCAGGAACCTCAAATATAGCAAAAAAAAATAGCATTCTTTTAACTTACTTATTTATTTCAACAATAAAAAGACATAACCTCGTACCTATATTACTTTATAAAAATGTTTTTGACAATTTAGAAAGTAAAAAACATATTACCTTAATCGAGGTGAGACAAAGTAGAAGATATAATAAAGTTACACTTAGATTCATGGCTTCACTTATTGACACAATCGAAAACTGGAAATATTAATTAAATATACTCACTTTATATGTACTACTAAATGAAATGCTACACATTAACTCATAATTAAAGTAAATTAATGAGTAAAATTAAATACTTAGCTATTAGAATCGTTTAGCGTACGGTAAAGGTATATCTCCTCCAATGTTATAGTAATTAGTTTTAAGGCATCAATTAATTTTTTTCTTGACTCGAATAGTGTCAAACGCTACTTCCTAACGCTATGCTGCTCTGCTATTCTTCCTGCAGTTGTACAAAGCCTTCTTAAATGATTACAAGCCGCGTTGCCAGTAACTTTATTTCCTTCGCAGCAATTTATGATGCAAATCTATTCATCAAACCTTAAAAAAAATAAATACAGCCCCCTTTACATTTTCTGCTACAACATAAACTTAAATTACACAACACCGGTACAATTAATTATTTTGAATTAATTAACGTCAAATCGGGCTTCTCCGCAGAAGAAAGTTTCGGGGGATTAGGAAGCACCTTTATTTTCGGTCACGGCAGTATCTGACAGAAACCCTTTCGGGAATTAATAGGTTGGCGGAAGTTTTGTTACTAGTTACAAATGATCCGATGATAAAACAACATTAGGCGTTTCTGAAAAATCCCACAAAACTGAAGACGACTTACTCTTTTCCAAAATAACAAGAGAAATGTGGTTAAAGTTATTTTAATTTATCAGTTTTACGTTTTTCCAGCAAGCCACAATTACCTCTGAGTATGTAAGTGTACTGGAGGAAAAGTAAAATAACATGTTTTCAAAATTAGATGTATCTAGCATTCAGTGGAGTGTAGGTATTAATCTTTAAATCCGGTCAAGTTAGCCTTGATCGGTCTTCAATTATTTCAATCTAAGGCCGCACGTCGTCGCAGGGAAATCAAAGACTGGAGTTAGCATGGAAAAATTGCTTTATAAACAATATTTAGTTTGACTTTGTAACACAGGATGAAAATTAAAATATCTTTGTACTAAAAATAGACTGACTTTTTACTTTTTGGCTTAAGGGTGGGAATTTTAGCAGGAAACGCATATGGAAAGGAAGAAAAATCAGTCAAACTATAAAATTGTTTGATATAATAGTTGTAATTCCATGGGCGCATCATTTTAGAGAGTTCGAAAAATTGTTAAATATAGAACAACTAAATGTGTCGATTTTAGTAAAAAATCGTCTTAAAAATTTATCCAACAGACAGTTTTTCTATTCGTCGACTGCACCAGGATAATTATTAAGAATTTCAATGAAAATCACTATTTACGAATTAATTAAAGATATATTTTGATTTGTCAGCGTATATTTTATAGGAAAATATATCAATCTCTTTTATGCTGCTACAAAAATTGCTTAACAATGCGTATTTTTTAGGCGTCTGAACTGTATCTACACAGACAGGGGTACTCAGAGGTTTATTCCATGGAATAAAACGTGAAATTGTTTGCGAAAATACCGAGTAAATGTCGAAAGGATACGGCGGAATGTTTACAAATACAATAACAGGACGTTTGTTTTTCGTTCTCTTGTGTATACATTTTTATTTTAGTCCTGAATCCCTTATAGCCGTAGAAAAATTTCCTCTCGAAGGTAACGTTTTTAAGCGAGTTATTTCGTGCAAATTCGTATCATTCTTAGCGTTCTTAGATAAAAAAAAATAATTCATTCAAAGCTAGATTAACATTTTTTTTATTTTTAATTCCGTAAGGAAGAGGCAAATAAGTATACTTGTAAATGTAATTCGTGTATAAAATATAAAACTAATACAAAAATGTTACTGACTAGTAGAATAGGACTAAAAATACACATAAAATTAAAATTAACATTTTCTGTCGATGTGCTATTAAGAAGTGTTTTATCAATTATAAAGGTACATTATTTCATTTTTGAAACGTACGTAAACTAAAGTATTTACTAAAGAAAATATCATAATGGTCTTGTTAGAAGGTGAATAAGAAAATCGGTTTAGTTTAGTGGAACCCATAGCAGACATGAATTAACAGGGTCTGTTCTAGCAGTGGATATTATGGAATTTATTAGATAATATGCTGCGGTGTGCCCAATTAATATAAATCATCAATACCTACAGCAAAAGCTGGATCTATATCACAAAGATATAGTACTCTTCCTAACTGGACAGTTCTTGCACCAGCCAATTGAATTTGCTGCCGTCCAGTTTGGATTGGAATTAAAAACAATCTGTCGGTTTTAATGTGATTTCCTCTTTTTTTGATCAATTTCTTGTGCAGACGGATAGGACATATTTGAGGATTGTCCATTAACTTAACCATTTATTATCTGCCAATATTTTGAAATCACTTTGTAAATTTTTAGAGAAGATTGGATTATATTCAATGCGTCTTTTTGGGTATCACAGATTATCATTTTTTTCTTTAATTCTTCCCAGAACTATGATCATTTGGAACAGAAAAACGGATGGACGGATCAATTCGTCAATATACTGTGTTATTGTGGGTATAGTGAGTTATAAAAATGTATCTCGAGGTTAGTCTTTTCTTCTTTTCTAAAAAAATTTCTATTTGTGGAAGGATATTTTTTTTAATTCGTGAAAATATGTCATCTTTCAAATGGTAATAATACCTTTCCGTTTAATTTTCAACGATAAGAAAAAGATCTACATTTTTTCTACACAAAAAAATCAGTTTCTGTAGATTTTTGGCATATTTTCAATTATTTTGCAATACGCACACAATTTGCACAGGAAAGTACAAATCTTAGAGAAAATTTTAAGCCTAAGATGAGTCACGTAAGTGCATTACTGTATGAGTTATTGAAACTCGAAAAAATAAATTTTTGCAAAAACTACCAAATATTTTGCATTTCTACAAAAATTCACTTATTCTACTTGCCAAAGACCGATATATTCTGAGTTTCATAAAAAAATCTTTTTTGCGTTTTAAAGAGTTTTAAAAAAATGCGTTCTACAAGTTTTGTCTAAAATATAATTTTCTAAAATGTTTAAACTGTTTTTTTGCTAACTTTGGACGCCACTAAATATCGTTCTGGCAATATTAGAAATATTGAAAAAGTTTCAAACCTCAAGTGACAAACTAAAAGGATTATAGAATTTATATATTTAAATTTATAGAACAATATTGACTTTTATAGTAATTATTAATTAAAATTATATCAATGTTACTGAGCATGCGCACTAAAGATAATTTCATGTAAGCGAAATAGCCTCGTAACAGGATATCATTCAAGGAAAGTTTGGTTCTGGTTAAGAGTACGTCTATAATAAACCACTTGAAGAAAAGAACACTCGATAAACACACTGACACAGCACAACACCAAGAAAAACAATAAAAATACTTAGTAGAACTAGAAAATGCCAAGATTAACCAAAACAGAGAAAATGCGCGGATGGCAGCGATAACATAACAAGAGCTCATGAGGGTATTCTTTCCGAGCATGCGCATTAGAAATAACGCGGCTAATGTTAAATTTTTACTTTATTTAAATTTCGGAATATTCTTTTACATCGTTTTTTGTAAGTTTTAAGCGCATTGGTTGTTCTTAAATACTTCTAAATCCTTAAAAAAATTAAATTAATTTGAAGTTGTCCATTTTTATTGTATCTATGTAAATATTACACAAGGGTTATATGTCACACTAAAATAGTCTATTTGCATAAGGAAAACGCTTCATCATTTTTAGGACGCTACAATGTTGCACTCTGTACCTACACATTTTCGTTAGTTTAATGCAAATCCTTGAACATTTTCTTGGTGCATTCGTCAACACAAATTAAATCAGTACAAAAACTGTTGTACCTGCGTATCGTTAGCGTTTAGTTTTCGGATTGCGTGCGATACAAGGAAACAAACCTTCGTGCTCCCGTTAATCAAACCAATTCCCCAGGAGATGTAGGACCCAGTTGCATAATCCCCAATTACCCCGACAGCCGGTTTCGGTCCTACGTTAATTGCTGTGGAGACAACGCAGCTTCCTGCTAATTAAATCTGGCATTAATGAAACGCTTTATCGGAGTTATAAAACCCGATATCGCCTCGGGAGGTGTCAGTCGCGTGCAGGTTCAGGAGAGACGTTAAAAAAAACAATGCTGATAAGATTAGGTGCCGCGTGCGGCTGTGTCCTTTTAGTTCTTCCTCTAGTTCTTGTGAGTATGAATGGAATAGTGGGTGGCGGAATTGTCGGTTTGCATATCTTTGAGCGATTGCCTAATAATAAATTGCCTAATTTGCCTAATAATAATAAATAATTCGTGTATGTGCATTAAAATTCCTGATTTGCACTCAAAATTCAGAACCTCAGTTTAGCGGGGATACATTGAGCTTAAAAACACAAACTATTTATCTTCAATTTTGGTTTTATTTTGGGATGCATAACTAACAACGTAATTTAAGAGTAAATATTTTTTTGTAAAACTGCCATTAAAAATGGCATTTTTTATTCACTGATATGTGAATTGATTTTATAATGTTACATGTAAAAAACACTTTTAACACTAGTGTAAAAAAACTTTTAATACTAGGGTTAAAGATAAAATGCTATATACTACTATGTCCCAAAGTGATGGGACAGAATTCATATTTTTTTACAGTTGAAATTTAAAAAAATCGCTGAAACAGGTAAACCCCGTATTTTCTTCAAAATCCATTTTTTTTAGCCACAAAATTTACAATATTTAAGAACAGCTTCAATTGTAGTTACTAATAAACACTAAACAACTTACAGTATGGTAGAATTGTGTCATAATTATTTTATTTAAAAGTATATGATGCTTTACTACAATTCTATTGCGTTTCTCTAGAGCATAAGTGAAGAACTTCAAGAGCTGGTGGACATGCTTCACAATACATGCGTAGGAGAGACGGGGACATCAGAAGGTAAAGAAAGCAACTAATCTTGTATACATAAATTTCAATGTCACCAAAAAAATGTTCTATAACAAAGATGATAGGGAGAACAAAGACAATTTATCTGAGCAAAGGCTGCCGTTTTCCGGCACTGGGTAACTTAGGTGGGGGAATTATTATTTTAAAACTTTGTGGTATAACTTAACTGCACAACTTGGTTGTTCAACAACCGTATGGCTTAGTAGTGGTAGTTGGGAAGAGTGGGAAATTGGCGGCATAATACAGCGTGGTAAAAAAGTTCTGCATAAAATTCATATTTTCGTGAGACCTGTCGATTTTTATTTGATCCAGGGCACCTTGTTATGAGGAAAATTTTTTTTTCGATAATCCACTTACGGCAGCGATGACATTTTTTTTTAAATGACAACGCATATTTTTTTCGTTCGAAATTGATGACAGTGATAATTATCTAAACAACGGTGTGAAAATTTCGATGTCTTACATAACAATTTTTTTTAGAAAAATGCACCTTAAGTTCTTATAAGTGATAATTGTCTACTTACACTATTAATGGCTCCGAAAAGGACAAAGTTGACAAAATTACATTTCAAACGAGTAAAATTACACTAATGTTTGTGTAAGTCTAGCGAAATTGTTCGAATTGCCCACCCTGTACCATTTGGCATTGTCCTAAGCGTGTGTAAACGCCGTCTACACTTCGTTCAAGCATTCCCGGGTCGATTTGATTTATTTCAAAACGAATACGGTTTTTAAGTTCTTCCAAATCACCTGGTCTGTTTGTGTACACACGCGATTTCAAATAGCCCCACAAAAAAAAGTCTAGAGGTGTTAAATCAGGCGAACGCGGAGGCCACTCGATTGTTCCGCGTCGCCCGATCCACCGGCCAGTAAACGTGTTATTCAAGTACTCCCGTACTTGCACTCCATAATGGGGCGGTGCACCATCCTGCTGAAACCAAATTCTTTCCTCAGGAATATCAGGATCCTCGTTGTTCGGGAATAACTCTGCTAAGCTTGGGACCAAATCGAACCGCAGGAAATCCAAATAGCGAGCAGCAGTTAAATTTTCCTCGAAAAAATACGGGCCTAAAATACGACGCCCTATTATTCCCGCCCAAACGTTCACCTTTCGGGGGTGCTGATGATCTACTTCTTGCACCCAGTGCGGGTTTTCCTGAGACCAATACCGGCAGTTATGTCGATGCACCGATCCATTAAGATAAAAAGTAGCCTCGTCAGAAAAAATTATGTTCTTGAGGAAGTCGGGGTCTCCGTTACATCGATGCATTAAATCTTCACAAAAGTGGAGACGGCGGTCTGGGTCGTCCTCAGTCAATGCATGTATCAAGTGACCCTTATAGGGGTGAAATTTCTCTTTTTTGAGAAAGTTCACCACAGTTACATGTGAAATATCATTGTTCAATGCAATCGACCTTGTACTAGAATGAGGGTTGTCCTGGAGCTCCACCAGGATATTCAATCTAGTTTCATCATCTACTCTAGGACGACCCGCACGAGGAGCATCTTTCACACTACCAGTTTCCTCAAACCTTGCCAGTACCCTACTAACCGTAGATTGCGTAATTGGTGGTCTGTCAGGGTACGTTGCATTAAATAATTGGCAAGCTTCTTGATGGGTTCGTAACTTATCGCCGAAACCAATCATCCTCAAAATATCAATTCTTTCGCGTTCACTAAGTTTTGCCATTTCGAATTAAACGATTTCACCAAAGAATGTTAAATCGGTACTGATTTTTAGTCTTCAATATTTCAGGTAATCTACTCCTTTCAAGTAAACATTTCTTTGGATCTTTTTTTTTTGAGGAATTTATCGGCAAACTCGAAGACAAAAAGTCGACCTTAATTTGCTACATACTATTTGGATTTTGTGCGATTGAACTTGGTTCTAAATTTTGCAGTTTAATCAGGATCCTGACAATATCTGATGAATAATTCTGCAAATATTACATAACACCAGTTGCAACTTTTTCTCTAAGGCATTTGATCCGTAAACAGCAAATTATTGCATTCAAGAACATAAGGTGCACTTTTCTAAAAAAAATGTTATGTAAGACATCGAAATTTTCACACCGTTGTTTAGATAATTATCACTGTCATCAATTTCGAATGAAAAAAATATGCGTTGTCATTTAAAAAAAAATAATTATATCATCGCTGCCGTAAGTGGATTATCGAAAAAAAAAAAATTCCACATAACAAGGTGCCCTGGATCAAATAAAAATCGACGGGTCTCACCGTTTTTCGAAAAAAAATTGTTTAACGAAAATATGAATTTTATGCAGAACTTTTTTACCACGCTGTATATGCTTTATCTATATCTTCTTACATCTATGGTAATAACTGACAATAGGGGAGTGTATCATTGGATAATTTACTTTTAGAGGCTATAGAGAACGCCAAGAAGGGAGATTTTGCTGACGATGAAAAATTTAAATGCTACTTGATGTGTATTATGGTCCAAATGGCTTGTGTGAGTATTAAAACTCTATTCTTGAATAGAAAACGTTGCAATTGCTACAACTTCACCAAATTTATATTGTCTTCGAGTGTTAGATGTGCAGTGGTGATGTTACCAGTCTAGCATTGGAGCTCATTCCCTTTCTAAACGTGGAAAAGTGAATATCAGTCATTAAATAAGATCAAGTAAGATAATCTACTTTGATTTAGGTATAGATAGGCTCAACTACAGGTGATCTGATCTTATATTTAGATATATAATATAAAACCTTCACTTATATTTACGAGATCGAAGGTACCTGGCCTACTATTAAGATCTCCTGCCTTTATCACTCCTATTGTGGGCTCTTTTCTTGACAAAGATGAATTGTGTCAAGCTGTAGATATTTTTCTGCTTTTTGTGCAATCTATTATTACTGACCGTTGTTGACACTGCCAACTTAGAAACATAATAAAGGATGACAAGATTGCTAATGCTAATATAATAAAAATATACAATATTACAGATGTGGAACAGATTTACCTAAAAATTCCACATATCTATATAAATTTTCGTTACTTTAGATATTAAAATACGTCATTTGCTCCCAAATCAAAAATATCCTTGTGATCTAGATTGCTCTTTTTGGTATTCAATTCAGACAAGCAAAATTTGTTAAAAGAAAAAAATTATTTAAAAGCATTAATATTATAGCGGCCCCTGTATACCTAATTTTTTGAACAATCATACTTTGTTCGATATTTCCAGGAAAATGATATAGAGCTTATATATTTACAGACAAGAAATTTTTCGGTTAAAATTTTGTATTTCTAAAATTCTCAAGCTTCCAGTAAATACATTATAATATATACGATAAAAAATAATAATCATGCTATTTACGGAATTTATTTTTTATTATGTTTTAAGAATTTTGTATATAAAGTGTTATATCAAACTTCACTATGACGTCGAGTAATAAACGAAGCTGTGTATGGAAAAAATATTTTCAGATAGACGAAGACGGAATAGTAGATGTGGAGGCGACCATAGCGGTCATTCCAGAGGAATTCCAGGACCTCGCAGCTCCGATTATTAGAAAATGCGATACGCAAAGTAAGTATAAGTAATTTAATATAAAATTTCGTGAATTATCCCGCTCGGTGGGGTCATAAATCACGGATATTAGATTGAATATTGGAATTCCTCCACCGAGTCAGGTCAAATTTATTGCTACCATTAAACTGAAAATTTCACTGGAAAAGTTTTTCCCATTAATCCTAATTTTTTTCGGCGAAGGTGTGACATAATAAAGGATTAACGATTTCACGTTATTCTGGCGTTTTTATGTGGATATACCCAAAAAAAAAAGATTGATGATTGAACTTGGAACAACTCGTCTTATTTCTGACGCTTGTTTTAGACTTTTTGTATATTTTGGCAAAAATAGTATTCCATAGTATTCTATAAAAAAACAAATTCAATATCTGCTTAACAATGTTAAACATTCAAACAATAAGATTATTAAATTAAATCTGCTAATTAAACAAACCCTTCCACACGTGTGATAAATTATAACATGGGGAATACAACGACGTGAGGTATCCAAAAAATCCTGAATAATTTTTCCCTAACCCGGAAGCTTTTACTCTCACTTAATTTTGTAATTTATCAAAGCTAGGGTTGAAGTGATGGATGTGTTAGTTTGGTAATTAAGTTAAAATTTATCGTCGAGATAGAAAAACAATTTTTGCGCATGAGTTAATTAACTAGCCCTTTAACGTCAATCAATTCGAAAGTAAGACGAAAATAATTGTCATTTGCATTTTGCCATTTTCAAAAAAAAGACGAGGATATGTCAAAAATAAATTATCATCGATAGATCTCGATCTAATTTTTGGAAGATGGAAGACAAAATATCGGCAAATACAAAAGTTTTGCATAATTATTTTTATAAAATTTTATTTAGTGTCAAAATATATTTTATACTTTATTCTCATTCACTATTTAAAAAATAAAGAAAATAAACCTGTAAAATAAACATAATCATTAGACTAGAATTTCTAGATAGTTATAATTATAATTAATTATTATATTATTACTCTTTTATTTTCAGAGGGATCCACCCCTTGTGAAAGTGCTTGGCTGACGCACAAGTGCTACTACAACGAAAATCCAGATGTAAGATTTATTTAATTCTTATTTAACTCTCACAAGTCTGCAAATGGTCACGATTTTCATTGGCTGACCCTTAGCATTCACTTGAAATAATGATTTATTTATTAATTTGTCTCGAAATTATATATAATATACAGGGTGGTCCTTAAGTAATTGTACATAGAAGTATGGTAGATTTGTGACTTTAAAATATTATGATTTGAGCCAACTTGCCTTAATAAAATATTGATAATAAGAAAGATACAGGGTGTTAAACGTGAAATTTCAAAATTTACTTTTCGCAATAACTTGAACGTTTTTGGACATTTAAACCACGCATGTGGTTTATGTGGCGCCCTCTAAAAGATACATTAAATTAGATACTAAATTATGATTTCTCATACCAAAAAACCCCCAGTCAAAAATTTTTTTGTATAAATGTCCAAAAACATTCAAGTTATTACGAAAAATAAATTTTGAAATTTCACTTTTAACACCCTGTATCTTTCTTATTATCAATATTTTATTAAGGCAAGTTGGCTCAAATCGTAATATTTTAAAGTCACAAATCTACCATACTTCTATGTAGAATTACTTAAGGACCACCCTGTATAAGATAAAAAATCTACTTAGTTTCGAATGCTTTAGTGTGGCCAAAAAATCGAAACAGTTAATAAACGATGTATGTACAACATAAGATTTAACTTTTATCTGTTTCAGGCTTACTTCTTAGTATAAAACCTGATCCTGCGCGAATATTTACTTTAATTGCATTGAAAATTACTGTTCAGTATGTAATTATGTACAAGTAGGTATAATTTAAACATATTTAGGTTGCAATAAATGTTGTTACAATTTGTGTACTTTAATTCAACAGTCTAGATAAAACAGACAATCTTACTCGTAAACTATATGCTTTGCATTATCTTCATCTTCATCTTCATCTAGTGGTTGGTCCTTTAAAAAAAAAGTCCCATAGCACTGCGGCCTAATTAGGCCTATTGTGCGTCCCACTACTAGTCCTATTCAGCAAGTAGATTTGTCCTTTTTACAAAGTCCAAAAGCTTCCTTGTTGACACTTCTCTCAATTCCTTGGGTTCCAAATAAGGTCTCCCAAGGAGCGTCATTAACTATTTGAGATATTAAAAAAAATTGAACTCACTGTAGATGTTTGGTAGTCTTTAACTTTAACACCGCATGCACCATACGTTGACAAAATTTTACTTGACTTTTACGAAGATGACACTGGCCGAAAAAATGTGACTAACTTTCCAAACCGGAAACTAGAATATACTTTCCTGGAGATTTCGACTCGCTGAATCCGAAACGGACCTCACAGCTGCTCCACCTCATCCACCTTAAAATGCAAAAGACACGGTTTTTCTTTATATTTGAGGTTAATTTGTTTTATCTGCACATTATCTACTATTGAATAGCTGTACCTAATAGATGATTCAATTATACTTCAGAATTTTTATATTTAAAACAGCAGTAGTTATTTCAACAAATGATTGAGGCTAAATAATTAAATATTATCTCAATTATTTGTTAATTTTCAATTTATGTGGAGGGACTTAATTGTTACAGTGACCACCAGAACGGTACTATAAATAATTTCTTTAGTGCCTGTAAAATTACCAGGTATTTAATAAAGTAATTTTTCTAAAATACTAAATTAGTTAGCATATAAATACAAGATTTGTACAATATTTTCAGGTTTCTAATCTCTACTAGACGATCGATATGCGTCGAATAATAATTGTGTTTCTCTTTAATTTTTATCTAAAATTGAGTATGGTGAGTAAAATTGTAGTTTTGAAATTGTGAATTTGTTTTATTATACTTTTTAAAATATAAGATATGTTATATGCGTGTTATATTCTAGCTTCGTACAAATTTTTAACCATAGCTAATTTGAAATATGTTTTTAATTTTTAATACAAAAGAAGTTAAGGGAGCACGCTTTGTTGTACATATATTTTCAATTTCCATATGGTTAAAATGAAAAAATGTATTAATTTGTTCGGTAGTAAATATTTTCGTTTTTTTTTGCAGATATCCTACACTTTTTCGATTTAAAAACGCTATTAGCTTGCAATACTTCCTTATATTCACGTTGTTCTTGATTTGCAAACTATCTTTTATCATAGAAAAATTAGACACCTTCCAGAAGACCAGTTTGGTTTTCGCAAAAACAAAAACACTATCGATGCAATAAATAGGCTAATTGATGCTGTCGTGGAGGCAATGGAGAATGGAAATTATGCGGGATTGATTTTGTGCGACTTAAGCAAAGCATTTGAAACCATTAGTCATGAGATACTGCTTGACAGGCTGACATATTATTATGGCTTCGAGGATCAATGTGTAAAACTATTTAAGTCATATCTTAATAATAGAAAACAATATACATCAGCGAATGGCATTGATTCAGACTGGAGGTACATCAGGATTGGGGTACCGCAGGGGTCCGTCCTGGGACCTGTACTCTTTCTAATTTATGTAAATAAGTTGGGGGATGCAGTTCCTGGAGTGGAGACGGTTCGCTTTGCTGACGATACAACATTAATATTGCGGAATCATGATATCTTAAGCTTAAAAGAAAAAATGCAAGAAACACAAAATACAATCTCTAATTGGTTTCTAATGAATGGCTTACACTTAAACAACTCAAAGACCCATCGTGTATTTCTTTCTCGTAGACAGCTAGACAACAGTGATGTAACATCATCTGTGAGGTTTCTAGGAGTATTTTTGGACACTAAATTGACCTGAGAAGGTCATGTTAATTATTTGGCCAACAAACTCAACAAGAATATCTTTGTAATCAGATAGCTGGCTAATCAAGTTGTGTCTTATTAACAACATATTACAACAGTTAAAATGTTATGAACCTTACAGTAAAAATACTCCCACTGTTGATAGGTAAAATTTTAATTAGATTTATATAATATTTGACGGATGTAAAACAATGTATGTTGTTGCAGACAGAATAAAGTTCTAATATTTCTAATATTTCTAACTTACAATTTTCTTCGAAGTAAGCCAAAAGTATATTTTCAGTATAACTTGTTTGCTACTTTCTTCATTTAATTCCATACAGTGCACATGGAGCGGCGCCTCCACCATTTTTTGTTTTTAATTTTTAATTGTACATAATTACTTTGTTACAACCGTACATATTTTTAAAATAAGAACATAGAAAATCTTACTGTCTGCTGATGTAATTTTCATTAACAAAATTTGACAAACGCACTTTATGCATAAAACAAAATAGAAAAACAAAATAATAATAAGTTAAAGTAAGTTAAAAAAATAATTTAAAAGAAAGAAAACTATTAAAAAACATTTTAATATGGGCACTTTCCACCTCCACACACTTCCTAAGTCTATGAATGTTATTTATTTGTATACGAAAAAGCAGTTCTGGGGTAATAATTTAATAGGTTCATACGTTTTTGAGGAACTTCTGAATGGATATTTCGAGTTTTTGCAAATAATTTAATAAAATAACATTCGTAGTCTTAGGAAGTGTGCGGAGAGAAATTATTTTTTTAACTTTAAGTTATTCTTGTTTTGTTTTTCTATTTTGTGTTATGTGTAAAGCGTGTTTGTCAAATTTTGTTAGTGAAAATTACATTAGCAGACAGTAAGATTTTCTAGGGTCTTATTTTAAAAATATGTAGGCTTCTAACGTGGAGGCGTCGCTCAATGTGTACTGTGACAGAAAATCACGAATATTTCGTAAACTGTTAATTTTACCGAGTTGAAGAGGTTATTATCGTTGGCAAATTCTTCAGGGAACTTATTTTTGATACAGATAGATTGCGATCGTTATCTATGTAAAAATTCTGGATTGTTTCCCATTGGGCATAATCCGTCCCTGGCGTTCTGGACATAATGAAGTTTCACTTACAACATCATATACACATGCGTTATCGATCACCAAATTTGTATCATGCTGAAGTTAATGGTTTAGAGACTGTAAATAAAAATAACTTTTTAATTTTTACCTTTGAGGTCCCGTAACTTGTTAACGAAGGCTCGTATGAAAAAAAAATATATGAAGGACTGATATTATTTTGACTTCATCTATCTGTACCTAATTTTTAGGGAAATATAAGGACACCCTGTATATTTCAACATATCCATTTTTTCATCTTGTTAATATTTGTGATTTCATTTGATATTTTCTAAACTACATCCGCTACTAACGATTGTAGTAATTTCAAGCGTTAGATCCAATTATTTTGCTATTTTATATATATAAATTATATATATACACCTAACGTACTATTAAATTTACTACAAGCATGGTAATTTTTTCTCTAACTAGCTCTAAATTTTTTCAATTTAATTTAAAAATCTTGTTAAATGATGTGTGGACAATTTGCAGAGCAATAATTTAACTGAATTAGACGGCATCAATTTCCCTCAATGACTGTAATGAAAAACAAACAAATTAGCTTTTGTTATTTTTTGTTAACCACACCTTATATGTATCAATGCCAGGAACCTCCGCCCAAGTATAAAAATGTGGAAATTCACAGCATTTGTACAGTTTACCATCGCGACATCCATACGTAGCAGTAAACAAAGGGCGAAACCATGAAAATCTGTGTTTTATTTGTTTTGTGTGTGGGATTCCCAGCTTCAATGGTAAGTATTGTTCCTGTATAGTATTTTTCCAACATAAAAGGTATTTCTCGTTTAAAAATAGGTCTCTCACATTCATTTGCAAAGTGAAATTAGTACCATTTCAGTGCTAACATATTGTATACTATAAACGTTTTTTATCGTTCAGTGTAGTTTAGAGGAATGGAGGGCAATGGGGGCTCCGATTCACAAAACCTGCGTGGCAGAATCAGGAGTAGACGAAGGTGGGTTTTAAGCGAATGCATATAAAAAAGTAGTAGTTAAGCCTAAAAATGTTTCAGTTCTTATCGAAAAGGCGAACTCGGAAAAGGTGCTGGAAGACGACGAGAAACTGAAGTGCTACATATTGTGTCTCATGAAGCAAAGTGGTTGGGTGAGTATTAAAAAGATTTAAAAAAAAGTTTTTTTTATTATTTTCCTGCGTATCTAATGCAATTTTCACAGATGGTCGATGACAAGACGATTGACGTGGAAACTGTCGTAATGGTTCTACCGGATGAAATGAAAGAAAAAGCAACCCCAGTAGTAAGAGCATGCGGAACAAAAGGTAACACAACCAAAACACGATCAAGCATATCAATTTGGATCGCTCATATGCCGCATATTCAGGGTCTTATATTCTTACATACACCTTATATTCTTATTATACTTTTGACCTTTAGAAACATACTTATATCATAGTAAGTTGGTTTTCTCAAGTTTTATCGTGAAATTTTTTTTTAACGATTTCTTCGTAATTTTCGTACCTCGCCGCTGGACAAGCTAGTATAACCTCAAACAACGAAGCTCGTTAGTTGTAGCGCATATATGCTTGAGAACTGCTGTATACATCGTTGTCAAATCCCATAATTTAAAGAGGAGGTTGAAAATTTTATTAGAAAACAAATTTACTGCTCAGGTGAGTTACTTTTATTGGGTTGGTATTCGCCAGGTGCTCCATCATCCCACATAAACTAAAATTTAATTATTTTAAATTAGATAAACTATGAAACAATACCTAACGGATAATATATCAGAAAGCTCAAATAGTAATAAATAAATAACGATAAATTAAATGCACAAAAATAAATAAATAATATCACCTGATTGTTGCAGCGTGTGCGCAAAATTTCCTCCATTTAGTAGTTATTGAAGCTTTTCACCTCCGAATTCTTTGAAACTGAACCGGTCGACTTGAAATTTGGCAGATAATTAGAGAAAAGGTCAATGAACATTAGTAACATAGCGCCGATTGACGCTGGAAATCGATAGAGAATCAAATCTTGAGCAAAAAATCTTCGAAGAGTTTTTTCGAGAAATCAATAGTTTTTCACTTAGGGGTAGTTTTTACCCCTAAAAAACAAAAAGCATCAATCGGGCTTATGTCACTTTTGAACTTGAGCTTAAGATGAGCCTTATTCTAAATTTTCATGCAAATCCATGCAGTTTCAAAGAATTCGGAGGTTACAGTTGATTTTCAGCTTCAATGACTGTCCTAACTGGCCCTTCCTGTTTCGCCGGATTAACTTTTAACAGTTTTTTACCTGTTTACCATCCTATCATTTTATACCAAGTGTGAAGTCAACTGACAGTAGAGAAGGCTTGCCTCCGCCGCCTTTCGTAGGGGTTATAGTTTACATTTCATTTGTTTATTCATGGCTTAATGTTGATGTATTTTATTTATTTCGGATTAATTTAATATGTCTACCTCCGATTGAGTGATAAAACTGAATAATAAAAAAGAGTAGAAACGAATCGTGTTTAGATTTTTTATTTTTTAAATAAATTTACCTTATTTTTTAGACAACGCAACGGGTTATATTAATAAATTTGTTCTTTGTGTTATGCACCCGTGACAAACCTAAATATTTAGGAATTTATTTATTTATTTTTCCAGTTGGTGCCAACCCCTGTGAAACTGCCTGGTTAACTCACAAGTGCTACGCAGAAAATGGACCCAATGTAAGACGTTCACCCCACATTCAAATTTTTTCTTACATTAACAATGGGACACATTAATAACAAATTTTTAAAAATTTTGGAATTTTGGGCTATGTTTCGAATACTGTTACACCAATGAATACGAAAATTTGTTTTTTTTATAAGAACTTTAAAATAGTATTTATTTCGTGCATATTGATAGAGGGCGGTAGTTAGATAAATTTTATAGTCCGTATTAGAGTAAAAAAAATTATAACTAGGCATTTTATTGCACCTTATGACGGTGAAGGCATGTAGAATGATAATATCAAGAAACAGACACAAAAGAAGTGACGCTAAGTGAGCACATTGCAAATAAGTGACAAAATAACGTGTTTTTTCACTTTATTTTGCTGTCCACGAAAATCTAGACGACCTATCGGAAAATTAGTCATTTTATGTTGTAGGCAATAAAATTACCTACAATTTAAGGTACCTAGAGCCATATTGTTAACCTGTAAAATAAAGGTATACCTATTCTTGCATTAAAAAGCATGTCCACTAAGTTTTTCAATTCTATTGGTGTATTAAGAAGTGTCCCATTCTTAATGAAAAAATGATATTATATTTTTTAAATATTCTAACGTTTCTACTAATACATTTTTTATTGATTCTAGGCATATGTCCTTATCTAATTCATTTCAAGAAGGTACTCGAAAATTGCTGTAACTGAGTAAGGAGGTTGAATAAACTTTTAATATACTATTTTGGTTTTTCTTCCCTTCATTAATTAGTTTGTAGCTAAAAATAATAAAGTCAAATTAAAATCAGTGATATAAAGTCCTTGCTTACAGCTGAAAATAATGAGTATGACAAAAACCGAGAAGTTTTTACAGTTGTTGGAAAAATAAACACCTTACTAAAAATAATCTTAAAGCGTAACATCACTACAGAGTACTGAAAATGAAAGTGGATTGATTTTCGAAACGTCAAAATCTGAAATGCGCTTTTTTCAGCATGAAAATTCTGGTTAGACCTTTTGGCACAAGGGTTTATTCTATTCACAGCCCCATAAAAAAAAGTATCGGATCTGGTATTCAGACCCATCTATTTCCATGTATTTTTTTCCGCTGAATCCGAATCTGCCTTCAGATTTGGCCCAACGGTTTTGAGTTTTCGGGAAAATTCAAAAAACAGGTCAAAATTCACAAAAAACGTCATTTACGATTGACGAAAGTTATAAAAAGTCAAATTATTCTACCAGCTCACTAGACGTAGGATTTTTCACTCGTTTAATTCCAATTTATCATTATAGAGTCAGACAAGCTGGTCCAATTTCATTTAAAAACAGAAAATAGATCAAAATGCAAAATTATGCCATTTTCATGGCATAATTCGTGTTACAGAGTTCTGGATCCATCTTTTTATCCGTTATGTATTTTCGCAGGTGGCAAAATGCTCAATAAATAAGAAATAATGAAAACTATCCCACAGGTAAATAACTTAAGACAATATCCTATTTCCATAATAAAGAACTCCCATAGAGGACTGTAGGCTGCAGATAAAAAAAATGCATTGTTTAGCAATATGGGGTGAATACCCTTGTATCTCCTTATCACTATCTTTTTGTGCTGGACTGAAGCACTAAGCTTTTTGTGAGGCCTCCTTGGTGTGCTGTATGGAAGCTTTACAAGCTTGTGTAAAACTTTAGAAGCTTGTTTTTGTAAGGCCACCTTAGAGGGCCTGGTACGGAAGCTCTAGGAACTTGTGTAGGGAAACTTTAGGACCTTGTATCCCTCAGAATTTTCACCGCAATATGTACTGGCCAGGTTTCGATCCTGGATATAGAACTCCATGGTACTCGAGTCGACGTCCGAACGCACTCTATGTATGATCCGCTAGGGTCCTGCAGTGATGTCTGCGTCGAGATTGGAAAATTGACTTCCTTGAAAAACACCCATTTCGTTGTGATGGCCCGCTTCGAGGAGATATGGAGTTGAAAATAGTTTTGGATATTGTCGATTCAAAGGTCCTGTTGAAGTTGGGATTTCGTAAAATATGAAGTTAGTTTATTTTCCGAAACGTTGTACATTTTCGCACCAAATTATTTGCTCGTTTCAAAAACACCTTCTATATAACATTTTTATTTTTTCAGTGTGCTTCGGTGGATATGAGACTAGTTGCGCTTCGTAAAACTTGCGTAGCAGAGACGGGAATAGACGAAGGTGAACTTTTGCACAGTGCTTTTAAAAAATTTAGTTAGATAAAAAAACGTTTTCAGCTTTTATCGAGAAGGTGGACGCAGAAAAAGTTTTGGTGGACGACAAGACGCTGAAATGTTACATAATGTGTAAAATGAAACATTGTGGAGCCGTCAGTATTTAAAAATAGAAATATATACCGTTTGTCCCGAAAGTTTTGAATAAAATTCATAAAACTGTTATGTTTGCAAAATTCCGGATCCTGACGAGTTTGATCGAAATCTATGACGCAAACTTGCAATAACTTCAGACAATCACAGAAATATATGTTTTTTAAATGTACTCATAACAGTCTTGAAATGAAAGAAACAGCAGAGCCAATAGTAAGAGCATGTGGAGTAACAGGTAAGTTCCCAGTGAGCTACTTCTATTTATTTCTTGGGTGAAAATATTTTTCAAAACACGATGAAGCATGTTAATTTCGATTATTCAAATAATGCTCCAAATTCTGTGTTACATTACTGACTTACTTGATTTGCTAACTTCAATATATATTAATAACCAGTTGTAGCATTAAGAAATTTGCACTATACTAAAAATACACCAAGAACAAATCTAAACATTTAGGTTTTTTTTAGTTGGTGTCGACGACTGTCAAACCGACTGGTTGACAGAAAAGTGCTTCTTAGAAAATGGACCCGATGTAATATTATATTATATTCTTATAATATAAGATTATATTATAAGATTATTCTTATATTCTTATCCAAGACCAAGATTTTAATTATACAAGATTTTTCATTAACGATAGGACACAGTTTAATGGCAAATTCCTTAAAATTGTGCTAACATAGGGTGAAAATGTTTTAAAAAATTATGAAATTTCGGATATGAAAATTTTACCCGTAATATTTCGTTTACAAATTTTTATATCTATCAGTATTTCGGCATCCATAGACTGCCGGGTACACAGGCACGATACAACAGCCAAGCTAATACATCAAGCAATAACGTTATAACATACAGACACGGATAGATGTTAAACATACACACCACGAACAGTACTAAAAAATAAATATTACAGTTTATGAGATCTGACTATGTATATTAATAAAACAATTGCGCTTATCCCATCAAAAACTAAAGATACCACTCACCAAATTGATCTAAACGTACCACCTGAATAATATGTAATAAAACTTGTTCAGACAAAAAAAAATATGAAGTACTGGCAGTAGAAATAGAAAAAAATTGAAAACAAAGCAAATGCGCGTATTTATATACATTTTTTTACCCACAATATTTCATGATTTGCAATTTTGTATTCACATTAATAAATTACATCCGTTGTTGCTGATTGTAGTCAATCCTCAACGTTTATTTCCAATTATTTTGCGGTTTTATGAATAAAAATTATACGAGTATACGTACTGTAAAATTTATTATAGGCCAGGCGCAAGTGATTCAAATTCATGCTGACATACTGACAAAATGGCTTCGAAGATCAGTTTTTCGACAATACATCGATGACAGTTTCCTGGTGTTGATGATTTTCTTCTTCATAGATTTTTATCATAATTTTTGTTCTCCTCAACATCTTCAATGAAGGCCAAGCTTCCTGCAACCACAAACTGCCCAGTAACTTTTTGAACATATGCAGAATATAATAGTTCTTTACCAAGTGCTTGTGGAAACAGATCCATGGTATCTCCAGTGAGGAGGATATTTGTTATGCCCATACCATTTGAACTTGATGATATTTAAACTTGTAGTACAGTTACTTTGCTTGGTTCCATAAAATAAATATTACAGGACAATCCCAAAGCTGTCAGAAAAACCATAATGTTGATGTCTTCAGTTACTTATAATAACGCTGCTATTGGTGTGTTGCTGTGATCAATCTAGGACCTTCGGGAAATTATTTTGTATTTTGTTGGAATTGCCTCTTTTTGTCGTTTCCCACGCAACATGTTGATAAGTCGAATTTTATTGGGTGACAAAGACATGTTGGATGAACTGACGTTCAAAGGTGTTCAGTGTCAGGATTATCATCGAAGAAGAAGTCTAGCCTTTAACATCGATGGGAAGAAATTAATATTTAATTATTGGGCTATTTTATTCCTCGACGCCTGGCCTATTAAATAGCTGTAAATTATTTGGATTTAATTTGCAAATCTTGTTAAAAATTTTCGGAGTAGCAATTTGACTGAATTAGAGAACAACAATTTTCCTATGAATGATTATAATCAAAAGGAAACAAATTAGTGTCCGTTATTGCCTGCATTAACCACACCTTCTCCCAAAAAGTAACCATGAACCAAAGTATAAATTATGTGGAAGTTAACAGAATTTATTCATATTACCGTTGTGTGTGAGTTCAAGGCATAGCTGTAAGCAAAGGGCCAACCATGAAAGTCTGTGCTTTATTTGTTTTGTGTATGGGTTTGTCAGCTGTAATGGTAAGTGCTATTGCTATACATTTTTTTATTTTTTTATTTTTTTTATTTTCCCTATACCTGCATTATATAGAAACAGTTTTGCAGAAATAAAAAAAGTTGAATGGTTTCGAATTTTCATTTTACTAAAACAAAGAGGTCTAAATATGCTTCGTTTCCAGGATACAGAGTGTTTAAATTTTAATGTTTTATTTATTTTTATTAATTATTTCAAAGAGTTCTAAAAATATTTACTCGAAATTTGAAAAACGCTTTGGAGGGATAAATGTGCATTTTTGTGGTGATTCGAATATTTCTACTTCCACCAGTGGCGTACGCCATTAACTTTTTCCCGTTTTGATATATTTTTAAAAATTCGTAGGATGCACCGTTTTTGAGGAAAAAAATAAAACATATTTTATTGCAAGTTGTGTACTTTTAATTTCTCTTGATACATTATCTAGTAGGTTGTTGTCAATATTTCTAAATAAAATACAAATTTCGAGTCAATATCTTTAAAACTCTTCGAAATAATTAATAAAAATCATGGAACTGAAAATGAAAATTTATGACGCTTGTTTTACAAACATCTTGTATACACATATTTTTAATTTTTCAGTGCGCTTCAATGGATAAGAGGGTAGCCGAGCTTCACCGAACCTGCGTGGCAGAGTCGGGAGTAGACGAAGGTGAAGTTTTTGCATATTGCATATAAAAAATATAATAAACTAAAAAACATTTTCAGCCCTTATCGAAAAAGCAAACGCAGAGAAAGTGTTGGAAGATGACCAGAAGCTCAAGTGCTACATAATGTGTATAATGAAACATTCTGGAAGCGTGAGTATTTAACAACAAAAATATATACCGTATGTCCCTTATTCATAAAACAGTCTGTAACTCCGTTGTTTTTCAACGAATCTTGACGATTTTTTTTAACTTAAAGCTCTTTTCATAAGCTTTCCGAATATATAACTAAATCATGCTCATGCGTCGTATATTTCATAGTGCAACTAAGGCTAAAAAATAAAAAAAAAATCCAGGTTGCAAATTTGAAATTAAAAAAAATTGATAGATTTCAATGTATTATTATGAAATCTACCATGAAAAAAATCAGTGCGATAGTGGAAGATCCTCGGGATCGTCCAGACTAATAATTATTTAATTTGTTTATTATGCGATGCCAAAACGTTCTGGTAATAATAACGCAGTTTATAAATGTTTAATTCAAAAGTCATAAATAAACTTCTTCTGTTTATAACTTTTGATCTAATCAATACTTTTTGACGCTCGAGGGCTAGTTTTATAGGTTTTTTGAAGACGAAAAAAAAAGTACTTTACTGTTTTCTCGTGGAAATGGACGGAAAAAAGTTTTAAGCGAAAAACGTGAATTTACATAAAAATTATACAATTAACCATCCTGTAAACAATCTTCCCCTCATTTTTATGACTGTGGAAACTAATATGTTATTGTACATAATATTCAGCATCTATAGTGATAAATTCAGCTTGCCGAAACAAAAAGTCGCGTCCAAGTCTATATTTTCTGGACTATTATTATTAATTAAGTGATGATATGGATTTACAAAAGAAATTAACCGAATAACACTTCTGTACCAAAACGATGTCTTAAAACAATATAGACTGATAAAATCGTTTATATTAAATTATTGGAATATACATCAAAATTATAAAAAATGGCAGAAAATAAAAAAATAATTTTGCTGCTGATTGAATTTTTAGATGAGCGATGACGGGACAGTTGATGTGGAAGCTATTGTGGCGAATCTGCCGGATGAAATAAAAAACAATGGAGCGTCAGTAGTAAGAGCATGTGGAACAAAAGGTAAATTCCTAGTGACCTACTTCTATACAGGGTGGTCCAGGTTGATCCGAAGGTATGTCCTCCATTAACTGGAAGAGGCTATTGTCCAAAAAATTTAAAATCAGTTCGGAATTTAGTGTAGGTGGTAAGATGTTTACTTGGATAATATGTTTCAGAACTCGTAAACCATTCACTTTTCGACAAAAATAAAATAATGTTTTTTCATCCGGAATGTTTCAGACCGTTATAAAATGTATTCATATTACCAATTAATTCAGAAGTTTGCTATAAATAGGGAAACGATATCCTTGTTTCTCCGCCACTGGTTTTTGAATTTGGATTGTATGCACGCAGAACTAGGAGGAATATTAGAAAAAAAAATGTGTACCAAATTTGAATAAATTTGATGAAGCGGTTTTCCAGATATTTAAAAAAATTGGTTTATTTTTGATAATTTCAACGCCCTGTATCTCATAAACGGAGGCTTTCTGCGCCTATGTTCATAGAGCAAAGTGATGTTCATTTTTGCTGTTTAGTACTTTCCCGAAGTTTGTCTATTAAAATATAGATCACCCTGTATATTTCTTGGCTTTCAAAACGTGTCACTCAAATGGCGTTTCAAATTATATGTTAAATTTCTTTAAAAAGCACAGTATAATTGTCTTCTAACATCAATATCCCTTAATAACATAACGTGCTCTATTATTAGGAAACGCACTTTGCTAAAAAAACACTTAGGACAAGCCTAAACATTTAGGAGTTTATTTTATTTATTTATTTATTTATTTCAGTTGGTGCCAACCCCTGTGAAAACGCCTGGTTGACGCACAAATGCTACCTACAAACTGGACCCAATGTAAGATGTCCACCTTATAATTAAAGTCTGAATAATTGTTTCATGTCTGTAGTATTCAGATTTCAGAGATCATCTCGTAAAAAACTGAAATTCTTTAATTGCAACATAGACCAACCGAATGTGACTAACTTTCCAAACCAGAAACTCAACTATACTTTCTAAGAGGTTTTCCATCTGCTGGATCCGACTCCGACTCCGAATTATACTATTACGTCAGACTTTCCAGATATCCTAACTTAACTTAAAACTCCTTATAACATTGGAAAGCGTTACTCGTCTTCAAAATTCATTTCGATTCGTTCGAATATATTCTCCACGAGAAATCGTTTATTGGATTTGATTAGATTGGCGTTCAGAAGTTTGCTTTTTATGCTTAGAAATTCGATCTATAGGGTTGTAGTGTGTACAGAGCATTCGAACTTCTTCCGCGTGGAAGTCCGAGGTTACGGAGTTTTATAGATTCATTTCGACCACTGTTTTGGATTTGCTGTTTTGAATTTCGAAAATGGAACAATCTCAAGAATTGTCTGTAGCAGGTCTGCGAGCTGAAAAATATAAATTATAGTTATTGTTATTTGCAAACCACGATATTTTTTATCAAAAATATTGCATTAAATGATAACATTTTGTTTAGTATTGAGCAACACTTTTTTAATTTCTTATCTTAAATTCTATCTTAAATCCGCCATTTTAAGTGTTGTAATTCTGACTTCATGTTCGTAATCAGCGACCCAGAAAACCTGTAACTTGGTGTTAATTTTGGTATTTGTAATTTGATTCTACCCTCTTTTTAAGACTTTACCAGATGCTATTCGATTTCCGAATATCGACAAATACGCCAAACTGATCAATTTCAACAGACGATTTCCCGAAAAGAAAAGAAGATATTCGAACGGTACAAAATGTTTCAGATATCGAAACGAGTTCTGTGCGAAAAATTACCACCTGGTGTAACAAAACCTCAAATATAGCGAGAAGTTAGGACATCGCGAAAACAGATTCAGCAGTCAAAAACCTTTGGTTTCTGGTTTAAAATTTTAATAGCCTATGTGATTAAACCAAAGTTTTAATTATATAAAATTTTACATTAACAATGAGCACAATTTAATAGCACATTCTTGAAAGAAAATATGACCGAGCTAAATATTGGGTCTCAATTTAAATTTTTTGGAATTTTGGCGATATTTCGAATAAGTACAGTTTTATCAATAAATATGAAAATTTCACCTGATATATTTTTTTGAATAGTAATGTAAAAACAGTATTAATTTTCTACATCTTACAGGGTGATATTTACACCTTTCTGGATGCACAAACTGTTAATATGACTTTTTTGACTATTAACATAACTAGTGAACTTTTCAGCTTTATTCGTGAATAAAGCCCTGTCCCATTCTTAATGAAATACCCTGTATACATATAAGGTTTTTTTGTTTATTTTAATGTATTCTATCATTTGTTAAAATTAAGGCAGTCGAACTTCTAACACCATATATAGATTATATTAAATGTCACTTGACTTGATTAACATTTCTAATAATCATATTTTCTTGATTCCAGGAGTATATCCTCATGTAAATCAATTCAAGAAGATACCCGATAATTGATACAACCGAATAAAAATGTTAAATAAACTTTGAATATACTATTTTGGGTTTTCTTTTCGCTTCATCAATTGGTTTATAGTTAAAAACAACAGGTATAAATTGAAATGATAAAAAGTATTGGCAAGCCCAATCAGTAAGAGAAAACAGATATATTTTTACAACAAAGTCGTTTCTATTGACATGACACATAAAACATAAAAACTACTTATACATAGCGGAATTACTTCTTTTGTTTCTCATATTTCATTGAAAAATGATGACATAGTGATGCGACAGAAGCAGACAGGTGATAACTTGTCTGTGATAGAGACAGAATCCTGGAAAAAGTAGCAATTTTTATTAAATAGAATTCTGCAATTCTGTAGTTGCCTTGCTCTGAGTTATAGATGGCAATGCCAAAAACTATTAAAAACTGTTTAAGTGTAAAACCACAATTCACTGAATTTAATAAAACTAAACGCTAACGCAAAAACTTCACTATTGACAAACCATAAGCTGAAATTGTAAGTGTATCAAATTCATAGAATCAAATGTGGATTTATATTTACATTCTGTTCTTATAAAAACATAGTGCTAAGATATATGTAAACATCTAGTATCTACATCGTCATATATTGTGTACCTCCTTTTACCTAAAATGATCAAAAACCAAAAAAAAAAATTACAAAATACGTGTTGCTTGTTTAAATTAAGTCTTTTCATTTTTATTTTTTAAAAACGACACTATTGTTAAACAAAGAAGTAAACACCTTCCATGGCGTAAAAAAAATAATTTTTTTGCGTATATTCCTTGATTTTTTTGGGTTTTGTCGTACTTAGGCACTGGTCTCCTTCAAGTACCCACGATTTTGATGCATATGTATTAATAAAATGAATTACAAGTAAATATCATTATGATCTGCAGGCACACAAATAACTTGGGAGTGTACTACACGTACTAATCAATTGTCTGTCCCGGGTAAAGTATGAGAGTAGACGTTCGAACACGATGGCTTCGCAAAGGTTCTACAGCGATCCCCGCCTTAAACTTTTTTGAAATTTTGACCCAACCATTTTAAGGCATAATAAAAAAAAAGAAAAGTTAGAAATCACTCAAGTTGTTTAGCCACTAAACTCTTTAGGGATACACTAAGTAGAAAGACAAGACGAGCTTGTAAACGCCGTAAATGTGATTTATTGTCTCTTTGACACTTGATTACTTCCTTTTATATATTCCTCGGGTTATTATGTGTCGTTTTTTCGCCAATTACAAAGTGCCGGTGGCTCAAATCGAGCGTCGGGAAACCGTGCGACAACAAAGCAAGACAATTATTGAAAAAGTCGTTGCATCATTACGCCTCATATTGTCGATTTATCACACTCGGCACAGACGGTTATGCACCCATTTTAAAGCGTGCAAACTGCAGGTTTATTGTCATAATAAGAGCAAAATGGATCGCTAGGAGATCGGCTTGATTGAACAGGTATTTTTGAACGTTTCCTATGAAGCAACACGCCGATTTCGTTGCCGGCTAGTGTGGCATCCGAGTCGATTGTCATTTTTTGGGCCAAAATAGAAAGTTTTAGGGTGACAAAAGATGCGACGCGATTGAAATACCACCCAGCGTTTTTATCAACCTAAATGGAGCAACATCCAAAAGAAATATAAAGTAAGTATTTAAATATATTGTTATAAACCTACAACTATTGAGAAACCTGACTTAAGTCACGTACAAAAAATATGTTGCATTCTGTAAAAAATGTTGTCTGAACTTCTCACATCTCAACTTACGTAAACTAATATAATTCGGAAACTATAACTTTTTCCACTGCTTGATTTACTTGTTAAAATTCTTACCCCCACTTTCCATTTTATTTTATACTTTTCTGTGTCACACTGTGGCATTCTATCCAACCTCTTTCCTAATATGACTCGTTTCATCCCTTCACTTGCGTCTATAATTACCGAATTCTTCTTCTGAATTTTCCAATTGTTCTTCTCTACGCGTCATTTGCTTTTAACCTTCCGAAACTTTTCTTTCCTTCTCTCTCCCACACCCACCGTACAATATTATTGTCTGATAATCCATTGGCAAACTCGACCTTTTGCCACTTTTTGCTCCCGCAACTTTTCGTTCCGCCCATTTACTTCCTCTTGCGCATCTCCTGTCTCTTTCTTTTCCCCAGTAGAAATAGTCGAGCCTTTAAATTGTGTACACCGAGAAAACTGCTATTGCACTTCCAATGACAGCCCTATATTTGGACGCTACTTCTAAAGACCGCTGTCACTGGAGCGAATTAGATGTAAATTTGGCATTGTATTGTTGGGACTCTATCCAAGTCTCGATCTGGTGAAGAGTAGCGAGTGATAATTTAGTCATGCGTTATTGTACAAGGTGTTTCATAACTCTACCGACATACAGCAGGCACGCGTAGAGAATCTTAAAATATGCCCATTTGTTATGTACCATTGAAGAGATATTGGTCTCTGAAGATGAGTGTTAAATTTTGAAAAACCATAATATTTCATCAATGCCTTAACATAGAGTAACCAAATTTGGTACATGATTTGTGTTTATTGTTATCTTTAATTGGTAAAAATATGAATTTGTTGTAAGCCCAATAAGAGCCGGACTAGGGGTAGGGCGCCCTTAAAATGATATCGGTGTTTTTATCAGTATGCCAATTATTAAATATTTTCACCAGTATTACAGGAAATTTAATTTTAAAAACTTTTTTACTCTTACAAATTTTTCGAAAAAATAACGGCTTTGGAGAAAATCGGGATTTTATGAAACAGCGTCATTACTAATTGAATTGGAGAAAAGGTAAAGTATGCAGTTTTACGACTAGTAGGCTATGATTTCATGTGTCATTTTTGACGTTTACAAAAAAGTATCAAGAAAAAGTAATTTCATTAAATTAGATCCTTTATTTTGTATTAAAGAAAGAGGAACCTTTCAAACAAAACATTAACAAATGCAACTTTAACCACATGAACTACCGATATCGTCAAATAGCACTACAATAACTGTTGAAAATGGCCACCATATTCTGTAATACATTTTATCCTCCGCCGAAAATGGAAGTCTAATCTGCGCAATAACTGTGGATCATTTTTTGTGGCGTTGCATTTATTATTTATACTATTCCATAAATCTGCTTCAGATACAACCGGTGTAAAATAAACAAATTATTTTCCCCCAGAGAAAGAAATCACATTCATTCAGATCTGGTGATCTTGGTGGCCAATTTTCTGGACAATTGTTTCCTCGTCCTATCCATATATTCGGGAACTTCTTTCTGGTTCAAGAAGTCTCATACATTAGCACTAAAATGCGGTGGAGCACCATCGTGCACGAGCCACATTTGATGTCTTAATTGCAAAAGCAAATCCTCGAGTAACCCAGGGAGAGTATTTTGTAAAAAAATAAATAA